TCGTTGGACAGCCACTTTGCTTTCTTGCATTTCCTTTTCTTTGGGATGGTTTTTGTTGCTGCCTCCTGGACAATGTTACGAGCCTCCACCCATAGTTCAAGCACTCTGTCCACCAAATCTAGTTCTTTAAATCTGTTCTTCACTTCCACTGTGTATTCCTAAGGGATTTGGTTTAGATTGTAACTGACTAGCCCAGTGGTTTTTCCTACTTTCTTCAGTTTAAGCTTGAATTTTGCTTTAAGAAGCTGATGATCAGAGCCACAATCAGCTCCAGGTCTTGTTTTTGCTGACTGTATAGAGCTTCTCCATCTTTCACTGCAGAGAACATAATCAAGCTGATTTCAGTATTGCCCATCTGATGATGTCCATGCGTAGAGTCGCTTCTTGTGTTGTTGGAAAAGAGTGTTTGTGATGACCAGCTTGTTCTCTTCACAAAACTCTATTAGCCTTTCCCTGCTTCGTTTTGAACTCCAAGGCCAAACTTCCCTGTTGTTCCTTTTATCTCTTGACTCCCTACTTTAGCATTCCAGTCCCCTATAATGACAAGAACATCTTTCTTTGGTGTCATAGAATGTTTACTTTTGCCATCTCCTGTTTGACCACCTCCAGCTTCCCAAGGTTCATAGAGCTTACATCCCAGGTTCCTATGCAGTATTTTTCTTTGCAGCATTGGACTTTCCTTTCACTTCCAGGCACATCCACAGCTGAGCATCCTTTCGGCTTTGGCCCAACTACCTCATTAGCAATGGAGCTACTTCTACTTCTCTTCCGCTCTTCCTCAGTAGCATGTTGGACGCCTTCTGACCTGAGGGGCCCATCTTCCAACGTAGTATCTTTTAGCCTTTTGTTTCTGTCCATGGAGTTTTGTTGGCAAAGATACTGGAGTGGCTTGCCAGTTCCTGCTTCAGGTGGATCGAGTTTAGTCTGAACTCTCCCCTATGACCTGTCCATCTTGGGTGTCCCTGCACAGCATAGCCCATAGCTTCTCTGAATTACTCAAGCCCCTTCGCCAGACAAGGCAGCAATCCATGAAGGGGAACCAATAGACTACATCACTGCTTTTCTGGTCTTGGATGCAATGCTTCTCCAGCTACTGTATCTCAAATTGGCATTAATCAGGAAACAAAAGTAGAACTAAAAAGTGAAAGTTAAATGAGAGACAAAAGAATAAATGGCAGGAGAAGAAAGGAGAGGACATGTCAAACACTTCCAATTTTTATCCCACTTCCCTTGAGCAATATACCTCTTAACCCCCCCCCAAAGATATCCATAGAAGTTCCCTCACTCAAACCACACTACCGCACTACACCAGTTTCAGATAAGAATTTTAATTTGCAAAGATCAGTCTAAAAGTCTTCAATTAGAAGAAAGAACACTGTTACGCCAAGAGGCACGGCTTATCAACACACTGCAAAAAGTTGCATGGTTGCTCCTCAAAGGCTGAGGCAGCAAGGAAGTTTCAGACAAAAAAACATGCAGAGCATTGCTGGTTTTACTTTATTTAGTCAGTAGGCAAGGCCCAAATGCAATTGAGTTCTCATGCGGCAGCAGGAACACAAGCTCAACATTTATACAAGGCAAAACTTACCACACCAATGCCTTCAAAAGCAAAGATGGCTGTGCCAAAAAACAGTGGAAATGTCTTCCATGGGGCCACCAGTGGCAGATTGGAGGGATCTGGAATGCCCTGGCAAAGAGCAAGGAAGAAGGGAGTTTAGATTCAAGAGGAAAGGAGGAGAACACTTGCTTTGAAGAGTTCTAATAGGAAGCTGCTTTACATACTAAGCCAGATCCATCTAGCTCAGTGGTGTCTACAAGGAGCGGCAGTGGTTTTTTTAGCACTTCAGAGCCAAGTCTTGCCCTGCCCTTCCAACTGTTGATGGAGACTACAGTGGGGACCTTCTGCATTCAGGTACATGGTTTATGAGCTAGTTTTGTTTTCCTTTCCTGGCCACTTTCCCTCTGGGCTTGCTCCTTTCAGGATGTGTACAATCTGTGGAGTCATCAATGTCTATTATTCCCATACAAATGAACGGAAATGAGCAGACACCAATCAGGGGCTCATGCAGCACTTTATGAGCATTTCCTTTACAAAGCCTAAGAAATTATCTGTCTCAGACCTGTTCTATCTTTGGTCACATGCAGCCGCACCTAACATTTTCTCTCTCTCCTTCCATGTCCGCCACCAGCCTGATCCACTTGGTAGTCAGGCTGCTTTGTTTCTCACATTACACTGGCTACTCTTTCTCTGTCACTCCAGAGTATGCCTTGGTTGCCTTGTGCTCCAATCTTCTTCTCCTCTCTTGTCATGTCACGCTTACCTCCCATCTACACAGAACAGAACTCTGCTGACTGAATAATCCATTCCTCTCCTTCAGACCATATAAAACTCACTTAAAACTCTATCCACTTCCAGTGGAACTTTCCTTTCATAGCCTCCAATGCTCTTCAGGGGTCAGATGGTCACTCCAAGTCTCCTGTCAGATGACCTTTGCTTCTTCCATTCTCATTAATCTGATCCTTTTAAAAGTGTCCTGCTACTCCATCAACAGGCAGGAACCTCTTCCTTCTTCCCTCCTCATAACCCACGTTTCACTCCAAAGGCTTTGGTTTAATGACATAGTCCTCAACCCTATCGTACTCCTGATACAACATTTTCATATTTCTTTTCGCTGCTTCCGTGTTAACCTGGTCAGGGCAGAAGCATGTCTTCTTAAACATATCCTGAGTGACTGGATGGTGCTACATTAACTGGTACTACAGTGGCCTCGGATCCTCTCCCACAACTTACGAACAAATAACAGGGACTACTACAAAATGGAACATGCAAAAAAGACATTCTAGAAGGAATCTATCTTGCCGATTCCATGTGGATCTCTGTACGTACCCTGACAATGTACTGGTATATCATTATCAAACTGGTAAGCATGAGGAGGTTGGCCAGCATGGAGAAAATGGAAAGTATCTTGAGATTCTGGATGAAAACTAGTAATATCACAAAGGGCAACAGGCACAGGATGTATAACTGAGAGCTCATGGTTGGAGCCAATAGTGAGGTTTCATTAGAATTGCAGTTGTTGGTCGTACCATTGGCAGCAGATATCACCTAAGGACCAAGAAAAGGTTGAAGAAAAGTATTTATTTGTTTTTGTATTTATATGCCGCCATTCTCCAGATCCGGGGACTCAAGCGGCTCGCGCTATTAAAAACAACAAAATTTAAAACATAAAAAGATAACGATTTTAAAAATTAAACTACATGAGAAAATACAATTGAATAATTAAAAGCAAGTAAACATTAAAAACTATTTTTTAATTTAGAGATTCAATCACAATTGTCAAAAGCCTGCCTGAAGGGATGGGTCCCAATTAGTTCTCTACTGGCATTTTGATGCTTGGTTTCAACCAGCAGCCAAACAGAGTAGAGTCTGCACACAATTAATGATCTTCAGTCATGCTACCAGCATGCAACACTTTTCTCAGCAGTATATACATACTTAGCACATGTATGGGCAACCCCAGGGAGTCTCTAGGCTGTGGAGACCCACACCCAGTTCTACAACCCCATCCTCATTTTTTAACAAAAAGGTTTTTATAAAAAACTCTTTCACTCTCTAACAACCAAAATAAATGTTGAGAGGCATAGGAAGGCCTTGGGTGCCCCTCTAAATGTGGCAAAATTTCTGAGATTTTTCCCCAAAAACATTTTTTCAAAAATTGGAGTGTGTGCTGGAGTGTGGGGGAATCTCAGGAGATGCACATATAACATGCTTCCACACAAATTTAACATATCCTATACAAACATCTTTCGTTTTTTAAAAAAATACATATATCATGTTTTGCTGTACCATTACTGGACAAGAAAATTTGATAGTTGTGTGGAATGTAAATAGAATCATAAAACTTCTGGATAGTCCTTTGACAATAAACTTATCCTAACATAATCTTATCTGAGAGTCTCTTGTAAATTGTGGAAAGTTCAAGGCAATGGGGGGGGGAGTATATTATGTGGGGCTTGGGCTGACTGCCCAATCACCACCATAACTTATAATCACTTGTGGCATGAAAGTTGGCTGCTGCTCCAAACAAGACTTCACTAGGATGCTGAGAAACAATGTCATAGAGATCCCCTTTTCTAAGAAATCACAGCTCCCTTCACTAGCTCCAGATGCAGCCATTCAATACAAGCTGTCTTCCACCATGGCATAAGACCAACTACAAAATATTATAATCCTTTCACTCCCACATTGCACCCTGTCTGCTTTTGTGACACTTTGCTAAATTTGCCACCATCCTATCAAGTTTATTCAAGATGACTGTGGCAAAGGGGTGTCTTTAAAAAATATTAAGGCAAGGTTCACAGGGAATCGGTGCCTTGCTTTTAAGCCAAATAGCCAAATCACACTATCAGAAGCACACGGGTAAGCTTCAAACACACACACACACACCCCACTTCCCTCACTGTTTGCTAGAAAGTCAAATTGGGTGGGTGGGGTTTCTCCTCTGTTGTGCAGCAACAAATTTACAGGCATGGCAGCAGATGTGTGCCAATGGGTTCAGAAGGGGAAACTGTCCCTCCCCATTTTATAGCAATGCTTGTGATTATTATTACATAACCTCTTCACTAGTTTATTTATATTTATATTGTCTATGTCTCAGAAGAATATTAGGTACTCTGCAACTACTGTACTCTAAATTTACTCTGATCCGAGACAAAACAGATGGAAGGTTTTTTCTCTCCGCATCTGAAGATTCCTACTGCTTACAGCAGTAAAAGAAATACTTAAACCAGACAACTTCACACGTTCCAAAGTCTTGCCAACAGCGCATTTAAACTTTACACCATCACAAAGTATTGTCAATCTTACCTGTTTCAGATTGTCAGCTAGGAAAACAAAATATACACAGCAGAATCCCAGCTGAGTAACAATCAAGAAAAAACCCACTAAATACCTGAAAAATAACAATGTACTCATTAGGAATAGTTAAAACAACTTTAGTTTCCTGAAATATTTCAACTCTGGTTCAGGAATAATTTCAGAAGTCTTATTTCCATGAAACAACCACCTAAAAGAGCTTATGGTTGCAAAACTATAAAAGCATGCCGGCAAAAGAGAGATCTCCTAGAATAAAATCAACACAGGCCAAAAATACCACACTGTAAACTACAGTACAATACAGTACACTAATTAAACACGTTTTTTTTAGATGTAGCACCTGCCTTGCATCAAACATCAGTTTTACAGCAAGTCAGTGTAACTGTTGAAAGTCTATCTGAATAGAAGGCCACTTGCCTGCTGGACGAAAGGAAAACCAGACGGTCATAAACCTATCTCCCTACTTGGATGGGATTTCCACATCCTAGTACTCTGTAAAATGTTAGGGACCTTTCACAATTTGGACCCGATCAAGATGTTATGGAACCCTTTATGACATGCTATAAGTTTTTTACAACATGTTTTGAGAGTAAACATTGCTTGCATCTGTCATAACTCATTGACTACAACCGGTTCAAATGCTGAGAGGTGTCCACTGCTCCATTTAATTCGATATTATTAGATAATGTTTGTCATTGCTCTTTCTTTAATGATCAGGTTTAATTTTTTTTAAAAGGATTCTCTCATCTTATCAAACTGTGGTTCTGTTCTTCAAAACATTGTGCAATGCCTGCAAAATTGGACAGACTTTTCTCCAAAACAGACAGCAAATAATAACTTTGCTGAAGGTTTAAACGTTGGAGGCAAGATGTTCCTTTTCCCAGCTTTCACGATGATCAAGTTAATATCCCAACATTCTCAAAAGCCTTAGCCAAGCTTTACAGATTTGAAACACACGCATGCACACACACACATACTGTACAGTGGTACCTCGCTTTACGATTACCCGCATTACGACAAAACCGCATCACAACAATCTTTTTGCAATCGCAATTGCGATCGCAAAACGATGGTCTGAATGAGTTTTTTTCGCTTTGCGATGATCGGTTCCCTGCTTTGGGAACCGATTCTTCGCAAAACGACGATTTTCCTCCAGCTGATTGGCGGTTTCAAAATGGCCACCAGGTAAATAAAATGTCTCCCCGCTCTTTTCTGGGACGGATTCCTCGCAAGACAGCCACCGAAAATGGCTGCCCTATGGAGGATCTTCGCTGGACGGTGAGTTTCCAGCCCATTGGAACGCATTGAAGTGGTTTCAATGTGTTACAATGGGCTTTTTATTTTCGCATTACGACGTTTTTGTTCTACAGTGATTTCGCTGGAACAAATTAACATCATAATGCGAGGCACCATTGTATATCAGAACAACAGCAACATACAACATAATGCACCATTTGTCAGATTCAGAAAAGTGATAGGCAGATTCCATGCCACGTGCACCAATTTTGCACAAATATCTAAGAAATGTGGCCATTGAAACAGGAGCTTTATCCTATCTTCTCACTTGCATTTTTAAAAACGACCTAAAATGTATCTACCCTCTTATGTATCCACAGACCACTTATAACAGAACCATATCCACACGCCCATAAATACAAAGAAGACAGATACCTTCCCCAGATGGAATGATTCCGTAGCCATGCAATGGGGCTGGCTTCCAGCCCATGCATCACTGCATCACCATAATCCACAAATGGCTTCTGATGTCTGTTTTGGGGGGAAAGAAGAATAGGTCAGGAGGGGAACGATGTATGAGTGGCTGAAGGGCTTCATATGATACCACACTTTTTGTGGTGGGGGGAATGGTCATCACACAGCCAAGGGAATTTGTATGAGGCAGTGCATTTCAGATTGTCTGCTGCAGCATGCCAAATCCCAAATGTTTTTTTGCTGGACCCAGGGATGAAGTCAGCACAAGCACCTGGAAATATGATACCTATTGATTAAGTCAAGGTGGCAGCACAACTAGAAACAGCCTGTAGGGCTGGATGTGGGTTAGGAGAATACATGCAAGGCCTGCCCCAGTATCACCACATGCCTGGCAGCATTCATGGATCGTGTAAAAAGTTGTATAAGCCACTCTTACTGCATTTGGTTCAGCACAGCTATAGCACCCCCATAATCATGAAAAGGAACCCAGGAATTCTCAGGAATGCTGCCGGGCATGCGACAAGTTTAGGGTTACACGCACACACATGTCCCCACCCACATTTGGGCCCCATAGGCAAGCAAGCACATGCCTGTGTTTGTGATGGTGCTGAAACCCTGGAGGGATCGGCAATCACTGCTTCTTTGTGGCTCTAGAAAACTGTAGCTGCCAGAAAGCTTCTCATGCCCTCTCATGCTATACGAAAAAGGCATCCCCCCTGGTGCAAACCCAGATAGATGAACACCTGAGAGCAGTGGGCATTCATCAGGTGTACTTCTGCTTTGTTGAGGCTCCTTCATGCATCTAATACTGGCTGTATCTGAGTCCTAAAACTCTGAATTGAGTCAGTGAGGAAGAGGTGGACAGGTACTGTGTCTTGGAAATGGGGGGTATGATTCAGAGAGTGACCTGCTGCTGTGCATGATCAAACCAAGTTCAGGCATACATTGTGGCCCCTATGAAGTCTCCATCTCCCAGAAGAGAAATGGGTGTATCAAGTTTTTGTATCCCATGTAAGACTGAACGAGAAGCTCTTACCTGTTCCAAATTCTTCTAACACTGTTACACCAACAAGTACCACAACATGTGTAAGCAGCCACTCTGAGGGCAGCTACACCTAGACCCTGGGTGGGGAACTTAACTAGAACATCACCTCCAGCCACAGCCAAGAAAGGCAATGATGGAGGCTGACAGAGGAGATGCAGTCCAACATCTGAGCGTGGCACAAGTTTCCCATACCACAGTCAGATAGTGTGGTCCAGCAAAGAGCTGGCTAGGTCAAAAGTTCATTAAAATTACTCTTCAGACTACAACTCCCAGAATTATCTAGCCACCATGGCCAATAACATAACCTGCCTAAGCTCTGGTAATTTCTAATGTCAAGACAAGCTGAGTGTGGATTATTGAGATGTTTTAAGACAAGCTGACATCTCTCACTCTGCCTTCTGGAGCTCCCACGCTTGTACTTGGCAAAACCGTCCATTCTTTTTCCAACCACACAGGTTTAGTGCAAAAGAAAAGAATTCTACGTAGCTAAACTTATATTCCAAGAATGGAGCTATGACAGACAGGGGGTGCTCCTGACAAGGCAGATGAAGCCATTTTCTTTGAGAAATACCAACAGCCTCTCCCTCCTCTTACTTTTTGCAGAAGTGGTGGGCACACTTGACCAGGATATCCATACAGTGGACTGCAATTATTCCAATCACAAGCAAGCTGACAGGACCCATCTAGAAGTGCAGGAAGGATAGAAGAATTACTAGCACACTCTTGTGGCTGAAGTGATAAATGCAAGAATTATTTCATGGCAAACATTATTATTATTACTGTATTTGGAAAAACCAAAATCAAAACACTGTGGTCATTCGACAGAAGGAACCCTCACATTCCAAGAGCTAATAGTTTTATTGTAGTCTTTATTATGTAATTGTAAGAAGAATGATTATACAGCATTTTCATAGCACTTCTAAGAGTTCAAAGTTCCATTTTGTAATCTCTACAACAACCAGGAATGTATTGATAAATATTGGGAGAAGATCCTGAGTTTGAGGCTTCAGGCCTGAGGCCTGAGTCCCAAGTCTCGAGTCCTTTTGTCCAGCCCTCCTGAGGCTTGGGACTCGGATCTTGGACCAAAAGACTTTGACATCATGTGCACTAGCCAGTCAATAGGCAAGCACATTTGCAGAGACAGCAGGCTTGCCAACCCCACCACCCCCACTGCCCATCCCAGAAGCAGGCCGACTGTCTCTGTGCACATACCAGCCTATTAGCTGGACAGCGCATGTGTGGGAGGAGGCAACAGCCCGGTTCCTGGAAGAGAAGCCAGGGTTGCTGCCTTTGAAGACGGCAGTGGTAGGCAATAGTGGTAGCAGCAGCAGGTAGGCCGATGGCGCAGGTGGATGACAGGTTCGGGCCCATAGGGACTCAAAACATGACTTGGATAAATGGGTCCGAGTTGCGAGTCACCTAGAAACCCCCACATCAAGTCTGAGTCAACTCGTCAATGTAACTTAAGCCAGATTTAACAGCGACTTGCGACACCTCATCCCTGACAACAACCTTGCAAAGAAAATAGAACTGCAAAAAGAAGGAAATGGAAAAGAAGAAACGTGGCCTTAATTATAGTGGAGTCTCTTAGCTACCAAGTTACCTCAGCTCTAACCCAATCTGTAACAGAGGACTCTGTAAACGAGGGGAGAATGTCAAGGGTTGTACTAAGAACAAAGATACTGACACACAGTTGAGGACCCAGCTTCTTTAAAAATGACTCCCTATTTTAAAGTTTGATAGTCATAGGAAGTCACCTCATATTGAGTCAGATCAGGAAACCCAGTCTAGAGCAGAAACTCTCTTGGATTTCCAACAGGATTCTTTCCCAGTTCCGTTTTGGGGCTCCCTTGTGATCTCCCATCAAGATTCTAACCATCCCAACTCCACTTATTTTCTGAAATCCAACAGGATCAGGCATATTCTTCCTAGTATGGTGGTACGATCTACTTTTGTGGGTCAACCAGCTATGTTCATGGGTTCTGGAAACTTCATTCGTCTTCCACTCTGACTAGACAAGAGGGGTTCTTCACATGATTCCCTTCCAGTGATTCATGGGTAAGCAAAGGGGAACAGAAAAGATGCATCTCATGCATGCTTGAAAACTAAAAGGGATAAATACTCCCTAAAATTGGAATAAAGAAAAAAGAAAAAAGAACCTGTTCTGAAAGTACACGGTCTCTGCTTTCCCTGTTGGATCAGAAGATGCACACACAAAAGAGCATGTATGTATATACACAGAAACAGAGGCCCACCCTAAAGTACACATAAGAGGTTTTGCTGCTTCACTATGAAGCAGAGCATAGACCAATAATTTGTGTGTGCGCAAGCATACATCTACATGCTTTCAGTTTAATATAACCCTTGCATCTTCCTTTCAATGTAATTAATGATCTTTTTCTTTTATCTCTGAGTTCAAAAAGCTTTCTATTTTCTTTTAATTCTCTCTTAGTGGCCCTTGAATTTGTTTGAGGCTTTTCATCTTATTGTTGCAAGAGATGAAGGATGCCTTTCAGTTTTACGAACAAAAAGTCCTACCGCTCTCTTTAGGTAAGGCTAAAGGTTCCCCTTGACATTTAGTCCAGTCGTGTCTGACTCTAAGGGGCAGTGCTCATCCCCGTTTCCAAGCCATAGAGCCAGCGTTTGTCCGAAGACAGTTTCTGTGGTCACGTGGCCAGCGTGACTAGACATGGAACGCCATTACCTTCCCACCGTGGTGGTACCTATTTATCTACAGTACTCGCATTTACATGCTTTCGAACTGCTAAGTTGGCAGGAGCTAACCTGCTCTTGATGTTTCTTACTGCTCTCTTAAAGCAGTGGTCCCCAACCTTGGGCCTCCAGATGTTCTTGGACTTCAACTCCCAGAAATCCTGGCCAGCAGAGCTGGTGGTGAAGGCCTCTGGGAGTTGTAGTCCAAGAACATCTGGAGGCCCAAGGTTGGGGACCACTGTCTTAAAGGATACCTAATGAATGGCAGCAGAGGCTTTCGGGGGCAGCAGACCCATCCCATCAGAGAACTAGCAGCTCAAAGTAATACTTCACGTATCTGACAAAATGGACTGCAGGCCACAAAAGGTTCATGACATAAACACTGGGGAAATGCCATAAGATTCTTCACCGTAACCAACTACCGTAATATAGCTACCCTTCTGAAAACGTAAGCTATATGCTAACTTCAGCTTTTGTTTTGTTTTCTGCTTTTTATACAGCTGTCCTCCTATTTCTCTTTGGGTTTTAGACCATCTGTGGTACTTTACTGATTTATTTCTCACCAGTCCTGTTGCCTTTTTTCTGTGTTTGTTAAGATCTCACATTCTTCTCTTTAAAAAGTAAGTCTTCTTCAAAATGGACTGCACATGGCTTCCTCCACTCTCTATCTGCATCCCCTGATCTTTATTTTACTTTCCCATAGATAACTGGCAGCTATGCTTTAGTTTCAGTCTATCTCCATCTTACAGCAAATCTCCCTGTTTTGTCATTATTTCTGGTCCTACCTCTTAACTACAAATTAAATGCAAGGAAAGAAGACATCAGAAAAAGATGAAAAGAGAAAAACCCTCCTTATTCTTTCCTTTGATCAGAATTATTTTCTTTCTAGTTTAACTGTCTCAACTTTAGCCTAGTGTCTCCACTCAATTCTACTGCTCATCTACTTTTTCACATGGCTCATTTTGTCCAAGTTTCTGCCTTTTCTTGCTTCTATTTCATTTTTTAAAAACATTTTTAACGTCTCTTGTCCTTCAGCCATATTTTTCCAAGGCTGTTGTTTTCCCCCAAATCTCTATTCCTACCCTTTTCTTATTTAAATATTCATTAATTTACTCTGGAGACCCCAAGAACTGTAAAAAAAAAACCTGTCCTGTGCTCTTCATCCATTGTTACTACCCTGTGTTAACTTCTAACAGGAGCACAAAATTTAACAAGCATTTAGAAGTCCAAATGATTTGTCAGTTGCCATCTGAAGTGCCACTGATTTCTGTGGCATAGCTAAGAACTTTTCTTCTTCTTTCTACTCCTCTTTCCACACTGTTTTTTAAAAACTTGATTATTTATAGTATCTGATTCCGTGGATTTTGAACAACAAATGTTGCTGCCTGAGCCAATCCAGTTCTTGTACACACAATACAATGCAAGATGAAATTACAGCTATTTTAAAATAACAAAGCTTAGTAGCTATTTACATCAGTATTTATCAGTATTTATCCCTGAAGAACCCTAGGATTCTAACGCACAAGTCACACATCTAAAACAAATGCCTGATGTCGACAAACTTCAGGAAATGATTTTTGATATTATGACCTACATACTTGATCCTCTCTAGATAATTACTTCATAGAACACAGAGTAGATACATTATGTGGGTTGACTTGGACTATTGTTGCATAATGTACTTTCCTGCTGTTAGAGGCCCTGTTGGTCGAACAGGAAGGAGAAGATACCACAAACAGTTTGGACTTTGATGTTCTTGATGGCTGTGTTCAAATTGCTGGGAATTGCTAGATGGGTCTGTGACTGCAGCTCTCTGCTTACTGCACAGTCAGATAACCTCAGCATAGGCTTTCTCTGTTCTACAAGTGTCATGGATCAAAACAGAATGCTGAAGCTGCTCTAAAACCAATCAAGGATTGCTTCCAACAATCCCCACTAATGGAAGAGTACATTACTGCACTTGCCTGGTCTCTCTCTCTCTCTCTCTCTCCTCTGCTCCCAAAACAAGAGAACTTAAAGAGAGAGCAAATCTCCCTGTTCGAATAGCGATGTTAATGCGTTCTGCAAAAAACATCGCTATTCGATTTCATCGCTATTCGAAATGCAGTTTCCCATTGAAATGCACTGAAAGCCGGCTAATCCATTCCAATTGGAACAAATTTCCGTCGCTAATGGAAAATCTCCATAGGAAACATCACTATTCAAAACGCGGTTCCCCCATTGAAATGCACTGAAACCTATTCAATGCATCTCAATGGGGGAGTTTTTTTATCTAAAGGAGGGAAACCGAGAAGGGGGGGAGTTGGCGGTGGCGGGGAAGCCGCAATGCCTCTTGCTTGGAAGGGGGTCGTGGCGGATCACTCCCAAAAAGCAGGATCCAGCCTGAAGAGGCAGCCGGGCCGGGTGCGTCGCTGGTTCACCTTCTGCCGCCCAGCCAAGGCACCTCCCAGCCTCTTCCTTCCCACTCTCCTGCGGACTGAGCTCGCCGCTTTCCGCCCAGGCTGGGTGCCTGCTTGCCTGCCCGCCTGCCCCTCCCCGCGGGCTGCCCTGCCAGCAACTTCCCAGTGCCAGGAGTCCCACCGGGTCGCTTCCGGGGGAATCCCAAGCGGGCGCCAGGCAGCATCTGCACCCCTTCCCCGCAACCCGCACTGCACACCCCGTGCAGGAAAGAGGCCTCTGCGGATGCACCTACCGGGGCGGTGCGGAGCAGCAAGGAGGGCTCCGGTGCAGGTGCTTGCTCGCAGCGATGCGGCTCGGCTCAGCAGCCCAGCCCCATCCCGCCCATGTGATATCAGCCTTCACCCAGCGGGAGGATGAGGCGAGTGGGAAGGGCTCGCCTGTGGCTTGGCCATGGGGCCGGCCAGCCCGCCCGCCCGCCTACTCGCCTGCCAGCGAACACGGGGCTGTTTAAACTATCGCTAATTGAAATCGCCCATAGGAAACATCGCTATTCAAAGCGGGAAAAAGCCCCGAAAAACTAATCGCTATTCGGTTTCATCATTAATAGAAGCGCTCGCTATTAGAGGCACCACTGTACAGGCAAGCTCAGCAGCATTTCAACATACCTAGTCTAAGCAGCTGCAGCCATGAAAGAATAATAGTGGCAAGAAGTGGTTCACATGTTTCAGAGATGGTGAAAAAATACATTTTTAAACTACAGTTCCCAGAATCCTCCAGTGAACATGGGTATCATATTTTCCAAGTACTATATACTTTACCTTGATCTATTCTTCTTCATTCTTCTTTAGTCACCTGTCTCCCGGAATTTGCACTTGCAACTTATCAATTACCAACACAACAATATATTGTAAGTGCAGTGCATCAGCTAGGATGAGCAGTGGTTGTTCAGTTCCACTGGAAGGAAAACTCACTTCCTAGGAACCAAATCCCCAAGCCAATAATCATAAGTGTCATTTGTTAAACAACAAGAAAATTATAGGCTTAATGAAGCCTTTGTAACAAACATGCTTTCTCACGGAAAGTAATCCCAGTGACTGAAATAAATTAAATGCAAAAGCAGATGCCTTACCACAATGCCAGCATTTTTGATGGCTAATGGAAGACCCAACAGACCTGTACCAATGTTCCCTTTCAAGAGATGTATTAAGGTTTGAAGCCATCTGAAGAGCAAACAACAGAGAACAATCATTAAGTAGGCTAAAGCAGCCCACAGACAGACTTCAGGTTGGCAGGGTCTACTTTGTTCCCCACTAGAACCATGAAGTTTGCTAGCCAAAATGAGGTGCAAATAGTGATTCATGAAGGAGCATTAAGTGTATAGACCAGGGTGGAGAACCTGAGCCCCTGCCAGTGTTGCTGGGTGGCAATTCCTGTTTGCCAGCATAGACAGTAGGGAGGGCAGATGGGAGATGGCTTCCAGCAACATCTACTGCACATTTTCTCTATCCCTATCCTAAATTGCTGATTGAGAGAAGCTTTAGATAAATTGCACTACATTAATATCAAGGAATTATCACTGCATGCATTATAGCCGTCAAATCCTTGCTAATGTTGAAGTGTGCTGCTGGTGTATCATCTGTTGTAAAAAAAAATCCTCTTGACAACAGGTGTGTAGCGTGTGATGCACACCAGTAGTGTTCACCTCAGATAACCAGTGCTCTCTGAAACTCTTCAGTAGAAATAGCACAGCTGTTCCAAAAAGGAAAAGTGCTCTCATCTGAATGCTGGGATAAAATCATATTTAAAATTCTGGAAGTGCCACAATGTTTTCTGCATGTAGAGGGGCCAACACTGACATGTTCTGCACCAAAGGGTTTGTCTGCTTCTGTGTGTGACTGCTACAGATCAGGGACATTAGCTCTGGGATGTCAAGAAATTTAACAAACAGTCATATATCGAACCAAAAGAAAGGCCAATTAGTTTAACTAGTTTCAAAGAATTGAATATGGGGAAGAGGTAAAAATTCTGGTGGTCAACGCATCTTTGAAAAAAATGTGTTCTTGTAGTCATGGTTTGGTGAAAGAACAAGGGGCAAGAAGAAATCCAAGGTTCTCTATATAGACAATCTGAAATGTCACAATGCTCTTGAACCTGATGCACTCATGAGTCCAAAGGTATCAGAGGTGAAGGAAACTGCTCAGAAGATACAAAATTAACAAATCTTAATGCTTATCCCTAATAAACTCACATATACTGTACAGATACGGTTATGACTTTATTTTTACTGCATTTACATTCTGAAAGGAGACACACATGACATGTATGTTTTCTTTCTTTCTTTCAAATAACCTGCACGCCAAGTACGTATATTTTCCTGTTTTCTTCTCCTAAAAAGTTGGTGCGTCTAATGGAAAGGTGCGTCTTATGGAGCGAAAAATACGGTAATTGGAAAATATGGTTATGACTTTATTTTTTTACCGCATTTACATTCTGAAAAGAGACGCACATGACACGTATGTTTGCTTTATTCCTTTCAAATAACATGCACGCCAACAAAAGCACAGATAGATTCCAATGAAAAACACAGTCACTTACGTTGTCCCATCTTCCCCTCCAAACCGCTGATAGGATGCTGAGCCAGAAAAATTGTTTAAGCCCTCTGGAGGGCTGCCATCAGGGGACACCTCTGTTGAGCTGTAGTCACTGTAGTCGTCACTGCGCAACCTCTTGGTGGACATTGTGGCTATGGGAGAAGCAGCGTTAGAAACCACCATACCTCCTAACTCAATGCCCCCTCCCTGGGGCATTGCTCCATCCCCTGAACAAGGTTTCTCCGGATGAGACATGGCTGTACTACCAGCAACCCTGCTCCTATGACTGCTGCAAGTTCTACCTGCAAGGCTTATATAATGCCACACCTCCTAGCCTACACAAGGAGTTGCGACAGTAGCACTTTCAGAGGGAAACTCCAGATCACACAATTCAACAGGGATCAGCATTTTACTATGCCGACCACTTTGTAATCCTGTTATCTGAGCACATGTTATCAGCTTCATGTTTACAACCCTGCAATTAAGAATTTACAGTCGGAGTCAATGACACCTACCTAGTAAAGCTACTGCTGAGAATGGACCCTTCCCCTTCGCCTCCTTAACTTACTACAGGATGGCAAAGGGGTGTAATCTATCAACATCTGCATAGAACTGGTGGCTCTTTATAACTCACCTAAGAAGGAAAACAGATGCCTCCTGTTATTACAGCAGATAGACCATTTGTATAGTTTCTATTGATTGATTGCTCTGTTATTTATTGCTCATTCTTAGTTGGTAGGGTCTCACAAACAATTAAATTATTGATTTAATTTTTTGATCTAACCAACTGCCTATTGTTGAGGTCCAGGAAGGACTTTTCAATGTGTTTACTGGTGTGAGCTAAATTTAGAATTGAGGGAAGGATAGGGGATAACTGGTTCATTTCTAGCATGGCCTGAGGGTGTGGACCAGGCATTTGCATGCTACAAAGCCACCACCTCATCTCTAGATCCTTGCCAATCCTGGCTCTTAAAATCAGGAAAGGAAATGACTGTGGAATGGTCTACTTGCATCATTAACCTGTCCCTACAGGAAAATGATTTACCTTCCAATTTAAATGAAAATATTATAAGGCTTACTCCAAAGAAATCCAATTTAGCAACAGACAATCTTAACAATAGGCCCATTACCAACATCCCATTTCTGGGCAGGCTGATTGACAGAGTAGTGGCTGACCAGCTGCAGGCTGTGCCATGGGACTGAAACTGTCAAGAGAGGCAGACAGACAGATGTAATCCTGCTGGTCCTCCTGGATCTTTCTGCGGTCCTTAAGACTGTTAACCACAGCATCCTTCTGGATGGCTATTGAATTTGGAACTTGGGGACTCCATTTTTCAGTGGTTCCAGTCTTTCCTCGCAGGCATGGGGGGCACTGTCCACCCCCCTTGGGACTTCCATTACAGGGTTTCACAGGGATCAGCCACTCCCCCAATGCTTTTAATATTTATATGAAACCACTGGGGAAACGTATTTGGAAATTTGGAGTTCATCCATACATCTCTTTTTCTATTCATCTGCAGATGATGCTGTGCAGATCCTGTCTTGTGTCAATAACGGACAGGGCGAGGGCCAATACAATGAAAATGAATCCAGGTAAGACAGGGATCCTACTGTTGGGAAGAACATTGGACTGGTTAGAGGGTTATTTGCCTTGCCTCAATGGGGTTACACCCTCCCCAAAGGTTTGGATTTATAGATTGGAGGTACTCTTGAACACCGTTCTCTCCAGGAAGGCAAAAACACCTGTTATGACCAAGTGCCTTTTCTCAACTTTGCTGGATTGCCCAGCTGCACCTCCAACTGGATAAAAAATGCCTAAGAGTGGTTCATGCATTGGTAATCTCTAAAACACTGTAATAGTCTTTATGTGGTGCTGTCATTGAGGCCAGTATGGAAACCTAAGCAGGTGCCAGCAGATATGAACATTTATCCCTAATCTTTGCACACCTTCACAGACTTCTTGTTAGCTTCTGTTCTCAATTTAAGGTACTGGTCATACCTTATAAAACACCTAACAGTTTAGGATCCTGATATTTGGCGGAATGTTTCTTCTGCAAAATGGCTGTCCATCCCACACACTCCCTGTAGTCCCTTGAAGTTAAGGACTGTAACACTCAAGGGCACCAAAAATGCCAACACCTTGTTGGTCATGGCCCCTTCCTATTGGAACGAGTTTCCTCCAGAGGCTCCCTCTCTGCTTTCAGAAAGCAAATTAAGACAGAGGGATATAGCACAGCCTTCTACTAGTGTGAATATTGACCTGAGACGTTCCAATAATGGGTTTTAATTGGTGTATTTCTATTTAACGGTAGGTTCTCTGTTTTAGCTAATGTGTTGCATTTATTACATGGTGTTTTTATTGTATAATTTTATTGTAAGTTATAAGTTTTTATTGTACGTTTATTGTATGTTTATACAATTTTATTGTACATTGTGAATAACATGAATGGGGTGGCAGAGAAGTAGAAACAACAAATAAATTGGTGAATTAAAGCCCAGAACACGCACCTTTCTCTCTTGAAGGCAAGACAAGATACCTAGCCTCAATTAGTTTAGCCATTACCCTCTGCATTGGATGTGACCAGCACAACTTTTTTCATACCTCACAAATGCAACATGTGTGTCAGATTCGCCTCAGCATTCAGGATAAGAGGCACATCTTACATCCAGACAGACTGCACCCATTTCCTTAACTGTTATATTTTGCTTCTGACACGTTCAACAACCAGTGGACAAGATTCTCAAAAACCAAAGTGCCTTTTTCTCTCACTTTTCTTAGAGCAGTGGGCCTTTTTTATTTGGTCATTGAAAAAGAGAGTTCAGTAATAAAATTATTCAAAAACAAAAAGTCTCACAACTTTCCCTTCTAAACGGACTGATACACTCAGATAACATGCCTCTAAGATAACTATGCACAATTCTGTTCCTACATGTTTCTATGTTAAATAGCCACGTCCACTAGTACTTTCAGTTACCTAGTTCACCCTGTTCTTAATGGCATCTGCCCCCAAACAGCATATTTTACTATGGGGGAAGATCAAAAAGAATAGATGCCGCTGAAAACTTCTTTTGTCCAGACACCACAGAATTAATTAGTACAGATACTGAGACTAGAAGAACATTCCCCAGAGGCCACCACTGCAAAGCAAAAGACTTGTGCCTTTGTTCTTTTATTTGGGGGGGGGGTGTCTGTTTTTTAAGGGTTTTTTTAACTCACAGTTTTTTAACTGTTACTTTTCAAACTCACAGTTTTGCATGTTTTTCTAGTTTGCCAAGCCTATAAAGTGCAAAGGATTACACAGGACAAATTGGGCAAAACAGATGCGAAAAGGTAACATGCATGCGTGTATTTACATATTATAAACCTGTTTATATAGTTTGTCTTTTTTAGGATTGCCAATGGAGATTTAGTTCACAAATACCGCTCCTGACTCTCCACTGTCCACAAACACCATTCTATTCAATCCATACTTGCACAATGCATCCATATGGGTGGGGTGGGGGGAATTATATATTTGTTTAAAGAAGATTAATTAGAGACTTTTATATAAATCAGATTTTTTTTAAAATTTGAATCAGATTTTTAAACTTTTATAGGTAGTCACCATCTTAGAACTGCAGAGTTGGAAGGGAACCTATGAATCACTGGGTCCAGCCTCCATCAATGAGGCACACCCAACTTCTGGCTCCACAGACACATATCTAAACCACTGAGCTATCCAGGAGTTCATGTTGTTGTTGCTGCTGCTGCTGTTTATTTGAGGGAAAATACCTTACAATGTGGTAGATTTAATTCAAAATGTCTTATAGCTCAAAGACCTTATGTAAAAAAGAAAAAGAAAAAGAAAAGACGGCAAAATCTAGTTCTAATTTATAAGACAGTGTATTCATATAATATTTTTTTAAAAAAAAAAACAAGTTTTATAAAGGGGAGAGTCTAACAATTCCTGGATGGGGGCCTCAATTTTATTGGATTCCAACAACATATGTACAGATCACTAAGGTTAACCTGTCTCTCCTAATATATTGCCTACTGTAGTCACAAAACCCCCATAGTTTTCAAACTGGGTTTGCATTTGTAGACACACAAATCTGCAATATATGGAGACATAACACAGTTGATTTGCCAATTTTCTGACTCCAAGTAAAGTTATTCCTAGAACCTCTCTCTCTTTCTCTCCACATAGTACAATGATGGAATTTTTCAGAAGACCCATTTTAATTGTCAAAATTTCTTTCAACAGTTTCATTGAGTGATGCTGATTTCTTCAGAGCAGCACCCCAAGCTATTGTATCGCTTCAATTTTGTGTTGAAGAAGCAATGTGTACAACTTCAGACAAAAATGTATAATTTGAGATAAAACATTTTAATCTATTTTTCCTCAATGTATAGAGAATTATGAGAGGTGGAATCAATCTGGACAAGGGGATCATGAAAAATTTGTATTGTGAACAGTATTTATTAATAACTGTATCCACAAAAGCTCACATTAAAATATAGCAGATGCCATGATGTTTTTGCTTCTGCTTTATTTTATTTCTTGCCCGATATATCTTTCACCAGACTCAGTTTGCTCTACTCTTCTGCCCTCTCTGGCGTCTTGTTAGGAGGGACTGAGAATGATGGCTCATCAGGTAGAGGAGAATTATTTCACTCTTGAACCCCAAGCTAAGTTGGTTTTGTTCTCCTCAACAAGAAAGGCAGCACAAAGCAGACATCTTGCCAAAAGGATTGGTACTCCTCCTGCTTTGCCCTTGGATGTTGCTATGGTTGAGCTGCAAGACATCTTAACAAAGGAAATCATATGGACTCTGGATCATCCACACTTGGGAAAAAGAGCCCTCGCGTGGTGCTGGGAGCATGGAGCAAGTAATTTTTTTCTGGGACCTGACTGGCTTTCAAAGGGGACATAAGTCTAGGCATTTAGTTTAGTTCATTTATAAAATCCTATTAGAAAGAAACTGTGTGTTGAGTTTGTTCATTTACAGTTAATTGTTGCAATCTTTGTTTTGTCCTTGAGGATGGTCATTAAGATTTTATTGATGTGTTAAGACAATATTGCTTTTTCCATATTAAAGGACAGGGTCCAATTTTGTCAGCGTCACTTAAATTGTATTGCCCAGCTTAGTTCAGACATTGAAGTTAGAAGAATTGTGACCCCACAGCTGAATAAACAGCGACCCCCAAGGCTATGGAATCCCCTTCATCACGGGAAAGCCATTTAGGGCCACAAGAGCAGCAACAAATAGTTTACATGATTTCTCCCCCCCCTCCCACTGCCTCAAGCATCTCCCCATCATGGAGGGGGGTTCACAGGGGAGGCGATTGTAAATTTATTTCTGAAAAATTGCTATGTATGTCTGATGACATCCCCAGCCTTACATGAAGTAATTTACATAACAAGATATCAGCTACTGATTCAGTAAGAAATTTTAAGCCTACAATCTGCTGGATGGTTGGAGTTGGAATGATGTCCTGTACCGAAGCATAGCAGGCAAACTGTTCAATCAGCTCAGCTCAGTAGGATCAAGGAGCATGAAGAAAACATATACAAGAAGGTAGCAGCAACACTTTTAAAGGATGATACTAGGGCAGTATCAATTGTTTTAAAATGCTTGCCATGGGACTCCCAAATGGGTCCCATCAAATTAATTCCAACATAGAGCAAACTGAGTAGGATTTCCTAAGTATGCACGATATTTAATGAGCGGTTTTATTAGTGCCCCTCACCTCGCAGACACACACATATGAGTTTCTACAGCTAGGTGGGGATTTGAAATCTGGTCACCCAAGTCCTACTCTCACTGTGTAGCTGACAGAGTCCAATTTATTGACCTGGAGTCTATCCCGGTTCCTGTCCTCTTGACTCTGCTTGGCATGCTCGTGCAAATTCAGACAATGGACACAAGGTCTCAGTTGCTCTATTGATTTCAGCACTGGCTGACTTAACACAGCTTTGCCACATCATCAGGTATAGAACGATGATAGTTATTTCACTATGAAATTTAAAAGAGGCTGCAAACTGTCCGAGTGCTCCCAAACAATCTGTAACATTTACATGTACAAGCAGGTCCCTTAAGATCCCCAGAACACATACAACTTACACAAAGCTGATGACAAATTCAGCTTTTTTTATCAGGTTGAGGACAAAGAAAACTCTCCCACAAAGCAAGCCAACTACAGACGATAATCATACAGTAAACAGCTCTGCCATCTGCTCCCCCCCCATCCCCAATGTGGATCAGAAAAGACAGCAACTAGATATTAAAGCTCTTGAGTAATGCAAATAAAGACTGAGTTCTATTATTCTCTTACCCACCCATGGCATAATGCCGTGCAACTGCCGTTGCACAGGAGCTCATTGCTTTTGAAACGGAGCCAGAAAAAGTGCCCTCTCTGCCAATTGTACCGCTTGCTGTTTTTAGATTACAAAAGAGATTAGAAAGGAGCAGGAAATGCAAGTAGCCGATTCCACTACAATCAGCATGAAAAATGACTAGAGAATGTGGAACTGGAAAAGTACTGGAGGAAGGGTTACAACCTTAGATAGGAGAAATGTTTACACAGTAAAGGGAACACCTGGAGAACAAGGATTATCTATGAGCTGTCCCTCTTTGACACAGACCTGTGCAGAGACGTTGCTTCACACACACCCTCTCAGCGCAGCACAAGAAAGTCGGGACAAGGCCTGGAGAGCTCAGAACTGTCATGATTTTAATTGCATTCCAAGTCCCTTCCTTCTCCTTAAAGGCCAGTATGATCATAGGCCCTTTATGATCTTATACATCCTATTACAGTTTACCCAAACAAAAACAAAAATCAACAGCAGCAGTAGTAAGAAAAAAGGGACATCACAATTTTGATACCTTGCAGGTTTACCACCCCCTGAACAGTTACTGCTTTTAGCAGTTGTTTTTCATGCTAAGAAGGGCACACAGCACTAGTGCTTAGAAAGTCACTCCTAATTGTCATCAACTGCAGATGCACAAGCAAGCGGAAATACTAGCTGTGCAGCAAACACTGCTTGAACAAATGCCTTTCACAGAATGGTTTGTTCCCTATGAAAAGTTTCCGCATTGTTGCTGTGGAGAGCAGACACAAGCCAAAACATTATTCTACTATACCTCGGGACATCCTACAGCCAGAATCCATCTGTACATCACTTCGATGATCACTCACAAGGCAATACCTGGTGTATTCCAAAGAAAGAGCAAAAACTAAGCAGAGCTGCCGAAACACCTCTGCCCAAAGTCCAACTGTGCACTGAGTATGAAGCAGCTCTGTCAGGCTACTTGGTTCAACACGGCATACACCAGACCTTTTATTCTGCAGTTATTGATGAACCACTGTTCCCACCATACCTCTTAATTGGCTCGGCTGACTAAGGCTGCTGAGAATTGGAGTGCAATAACACCAGGAGGGCCCTAGCCCTGGTTTATACTGACTGGCAGCAATTCTCCAAGAGCTTCACTCCAACCTGGAAGCACCAGGGATGGAGCATAGTATTGTCTGCATGCAATGCATGGGTCCCATCACTGAGTGATGGCCCCTCCCCACATCTCCAACAATGCCAGTAGGCACGGATTTTCCACTAAGATGAATGCCGGAGTCAGTCTGATGTGGAAAGTCACAAGCTGGTGGATTGCACCACACTCTCAAATGCTTATCATCCACTGAGGAATTCAAGGCCTGGAGAAGAAATGTCTCTGCTGTACCTATGATATACTGTACATTCTCTTCCCTCTGCAAATGTCAGTGAGGAACAGTGACATAATACTCCAGCAGAATTAACAGCCCAATGACAGCCAGAATTTGAAGACGTATGTCCTTTAGACTAGAAAATCCTCACTTAAAATTCCATTTCTGTAGTATTGCCCCCTTTTTTACAGAGCACTATCTCCCTATTGCTTATGAGAAGCACTTCAAAGCTTATATTGCCCACCTGTTGCAATTTCTGGACTGGTAACTGCAAAACAGGAGAGTTGCTGGAAAACATCATCTGCTCAAGACAAATAGAAACCATCTCCATGTAGGAAATGACAGTTTTAGATGCATTTACAGATCTATACATGTAGTCATTCCCTCTGGCCATGTGGTAGGAATCTACAGCCCACAGCAGTTTCAAAATATTTTGTTGCTGAGTCCAGTTTGTGGGGAGAATGTCAGAGCACAAACCTAAGAATGTCTTTTCCACTCCGTGTCACCTCAAGAGACACTCACATAATCTTCATTCCCTAGACAGAGATGTACATAGAGCAGCTTTCTCTACTCCTCAGCCACTGTTCCAACTGCTACTCTCCTTGTCAAGGACAATGTTTGGCTTGTGTAGGGGATAGTTTCCAAGAAAGATAAGCTTTCAGAACACAGAAACCTACATATCTGTTCTCAAAAGAAAGGCCTTTAGCATTAACACCTAGAATGCATCTCACATTCTAACCCCATAATAGCTACTTTCAGGAATCCACTACTCGTCATTGCTTCTAGTGCTGAGGCACACTGCCCATAAAAAGCACCAGTCTTTTCTGTACAGAATGGCACTCTGCATCATCTTGTCATAACACCCACAAATGCCACAGTTACTCAATGTTACTTTTCTCCAATTTCATCTGAGACAGGCTATTACGTCTGTTATCTCTACACATATTCCGGACTGTTCTGGGACCTTTAACAATTAAGAGAGCCCCAACAGGCACAGCCTTCCAGTTACTAAGGCAACCTAGTAACTGCACCTTTTTAGCACTTCTCTACGCTACAGCTATTACAAAGCACAGGAGCCTCCCCAAGGAGACAGAAAATCCAGCAACTGTATTGCAGCAATACAGAATGTACGCACTTCTACAGAAAACCAGAACCCAAGAGCAAAGTGTTGTGGCACTTTTAAGACTAACAGTCTTATTTCATTATTAGCTAGCATAGATTACAATCCGCTTTCCTCATCCACATGAAGTATGGTTGCACATCGACTGCAAGCAGGAGGACCAAGTGAAAAGAGAAATGGAAGATACACAGATTACACATACATCATGCCCATACATCACACATATAATTCTTCTGTGTGTGTGTGCACACACATACTTTGACATATATATGTCAACAATCATACATACATACCTAGATGCACACCTCTCCCAGTCTCTCTGCCTCTTGGGCTCTTACTTCTCCCTTCCCATTCAACCCGGCACATAACACACGCGTACAGTCCTGATTCCCATCATGCCAGCCTCTCCCGCCCATGCAAACCCACCGGCTCCGCTTCTACCACCACTCTCCTCTTCCTTTCCCTTTCACCGGCTTTCCATCTTGGCCTCTTCCTGGGCCAGGTCATCTGACTGAGCCTCCTTTCGCTGCTCACGTGGCTTCGCCGGCTCAGCCGGGGCCATCATGATCAGCTGACTCCTTCCTCGACGGGCGCAGTTCTCCAAGAAGGCACTTCCGCCCAAACAAGCGGCACATCGGGCAACGCGCAGGCGCAGTAAAGGGAAGCGAGGAGCTCTTCGGTGCTTTTGTTATTGTTGTGAAGCGTTGGTTGCGCCACCCAGCGGACAGTGGATGCCTTGCGGCAGAAGATATGTTTTCCCCTGGTAACTTGTCCGCTGCTGGTCTTTTTGACCAAGCAACACGCCGCTGCTGTAAGGCATTTGAAAGATGATTATGTTTTTTTCCCCTAGAGCTGGAAAAACACTTCCTTTCTTTGCATCTGGTGAGCAGGGCACACTTTTTAACACCAAAACTTCAAGCCTTTCTCATCATCCTGAAAACAGACGGTCGCGGGCAACTTTAAATGGTGCTCAACTTTCGGATCATTCTAGGACTTCTTTCTTTGCACACACTTGTATTAACTTCTTGCCCTATTATATTTTTTTAATTGTCTTTTAGTTTATGGTTTTCTGGTCTTGACAGTTTTGTGTATCACTGTGTGAGCAGCCTTCAGAAAGTTATGGAGCAATTAATTGTTTTTTTAAAAAAAATGGACAGCAAAGCCAGCTGCCTGAGGCTAAGGCAGCTGATTTGAGGCATCAGGAAAGGGCAGCCAGTTATCAGTTATGTGAGGGATTATTGTGTTAGCCTAGCTTGTGCTAAAAGACCTTGGTGGGCCAGGGTGGTTTGCTCCGGCAGCTAAATGTCTTGGATTCACACATCTTGTACCTCATAGATACTGAGGTCTTGTACTCTGCTGCAGAGGGTGTACTTTAGGAGCCCATCGTGACAATTTACCACTTCAGCACAAGGAGAGGCCACAAATATGGGCAAGTAGACCTATCCATATCAACCAGTGGTTTTAAGTAATTTGTTTTAACTGTTAAGATTAATTGGTCTTTGTGTCACAGTAAGGGATAAGGTAAAGGTAAAGGTTCCCCTTGACAATTTTTGTCCAGTCGTGTTCGACTCTAGGGGGCGGTGATCATCCCCGTTTCCAAGCCATAGAGCCAGCGTTTTGTCCGAAGACAGTTTCCGTGGTCACGTGGCCAGTGCGACTTAGACACGGAACGCTGTTACCTTCCCACCGAAGTGGTCCCTATTTATCTACTTGCATTTGCATGCTTTTGAACCGCTAGCTTGGCGGGAGCTGGGACAAGCGACAGGAGCTCACTCCGTCACGTGGGTTCGATCTTACGACTGCTTGGTCTTCTGACCCTGCAGCACAGGCTTCTGCGGTTTAGCCCACAGCGCCACCACGTCCCCACGTAAGGGATAGGGTATACCAGTATAACTGTAGAGCAAATCCATTTACTGAAGCTGAATTTAGAGGGACCAGAGGAGGCAAGGGTGGATCACACAATGTCTTAATCCCTAATGATCATTTAATTCCCACATTTACATCATTTAAAGTCCCGTGAGTTCTGGCTCCAGTGGATTTGTGGTGCACTTTGTTTACCAGAAAACCCCCAATTCAAACAAATTCAATTGTATCTCTGACATGCGGAATGTAAAGTCTGCCTCTTAATCAGCCTGCTCACAGAAAGGCAAAGCTCACCTAGGATGGGCTGTGGTAGGTTATAGAATAGATGGATATTTCCAGAGGGTGACCTGATTTATACAAGACAGGAGAGTGGTCATTCAGTGTTTCTGGTCCTCTCAGGCTAAATATACCGCACATTGCAAAGTTCAGCAAACAGTATCATGATCAATTCAGTGGAATGAATCCAGATTTACTAAACTAAATTCTGGTAGACTGAATCCAGACTTAATTGGAATAGACCCACAGAATGGGACAAGTTCATCATGACTGAAGGGTCGTCAAGAGGGATTGTTTGTTCTGTGAAATGTTCCTTATGAGTCCCGGCCGTTCCTGAAATTTCCCCCCCACCACCACCACCAATACAATATTGCTCCTTATACCATGTGAAGAGGAATGAAGCTGGGGGATGTGTGGACTATTCCTAGACCTTTTTGTCCCTCCTCAAATCTCTGATATTTTTGTTATTGTTTTTGGCTCCACAATATAAAACTTCCTTTTCCAGTCCAAATTTTCTCCAATATTTGCATTGTATAGAGGAAAAATCTTGTGCTACGACACTTCCACAGATTTTTTATTTTAAAAAAAGAAATAAAATAGGAGGCATCAGAGGTGGGTGCAGGGCAGGCAGCGCTCACAACAGCAGGGGAGACCAGGAATACTCTTTGTGGGAATGCTGAAGCAATGGGGAAGGAAGCAGATGGGGAACAGAGATGCTAGGAAGCTTCAACATTAGCTACCATTGTAACAGGAGTCAGAGGCAGCAATTCAGGGAGAAGGTAGTATAGAAACCAGAGACACATTAGATCGCAACACTGGAAGTTACAAGGATAAAGAACTTGGATCATACTGGTAGTTATCAAAACAAATGCTCTGTCTGTATGAGTCCAATATTATTGATTGATTGATTGATTGATTGATTGATTGATTGATTGATTGATTGATTGATTTGATTTGATTTGATTTGATTTGATTTGATTTGATTTGATTTATACCCCGCCCATCTGATCTAAATGACCACCCTAAGCAGTTTAAAGATTAAATCTCAGTTCTACTTTTCATGTGGTGCCAACCCAGATATATACCACACTTGGCTACAATGTAAAGCAATAAGTATACAGCTTGTATAACAGTGTAAATGTGCTGTCCTGTCAAAATAACGCAACACACAGCCATTAATGTCTAAACCACTAGTAACAAAAATTGTGAGTACACCCCTAAGTGATAATGTCTAAATTGGGCACAAAGTGTCAATATTTTGTGTGGCCACCATTATTTTCCAGCACTGCCTTAACCCTCTTGGGCATAGAGTTCACCAGAGCGTCACAGGTTGCCACTGGAGTCCTCTTCTATGACGACATCATAGAGCTGGTGGATGTTAGAGACCGAGTGCACCTCCACCTTCAATTTCGCATTGCGCCACAGATGCTTTAGGTCTGGAGACATGCTTGGACAGGCCATCACCTTTACCCTCAGCTTCTTTAGAAATCAGTGGTCGTTTTGGAGGTGCATTTGGGGTTGTTATCATGTTGGAATACTGCCCTGCAGCCCAGTCTCCCACGAGAGGGGATTATGCTGTGCTTCAGTATGTCACAGTACATGTTGGCATTCATGGTTCCCTCAATGAACTGTAGCTCCCCAGTGCCGGCAGCACTAATGCAGCCCCAGACCATGACACTCCCACCACCATGCTTGACTGGAGGCATGACACACTTGTCTTTGTACTCCCCACCTGGTTGTCGCCACACACGCTTGACACCATTAGAACCAAGTAAGTTTATCTTGATCTCATCGGACCACAGGACATGCTTCCAGAAATCCATGTCCTTAGTCTGCTTCTCTGCAGCAAACCATATGCGGGCTTTCTTGTGTATCATCTTTAGAAAAAGCTTCCTTCTGGGAACAGCTCTGGATACCAATTTGATGCAGGGTGTGACATATGGTCTGAGCACTGAAAGGCTGACACCCCACCGCCACCCCTTCAACCTCTGCAGCAATGCTGGCAGCACTCATACATATATTTCCCAAAGCCAGTCTCTGGATATGATGCTGAGCATGGGCACTCAACTTCTTTGGTCAACCATGGCGAGGCCTGTTCCGAGTGGAACCTGTACTGTTAAACTGCTGTATGGTCTTGGCCACCATGCTGCAGCTCAGTTTCAGGGTTTTGACAATCTTCTTATAGCCTAGGCCATTTTTATATAGAGCGACAATTTGTTTTTTCAGATCCTCAGATAGTTCATTACCATGAGGTGCCATGTGAAACTTCCAGTGACCAGTTTGAGAGAGAGAGAGTGATAACACTTGTTTTCCCCTTCACACCTGAGACTTGTGACACTAACAGGTCTCATGACACCAGGGAGGGAAAACAGCTACTTGGGCCCAATGTGGACATTGTCACTTAGGGGTGTACACACTTTTGTTGCCCGCGGTTTAGACATTAATGGCTGTGTGTTGTGTTATTTTGAGGGGATAGCACATTTACACTGTTATACAGTTATAACAGCTTGTTATACAAGCTGTATACTCACTACTTTATATTGCAGCCAAGTGCCATTCCTTCAGTGTTGTCATATGAAAAGATATACTAAAATATTTATAAATTTGAGGGAGTGTACTCACTTCTGTGATATACTGTACATCAACAAGACACCAACAAATAGGATTAATAAAAATATTTATTCAATACTTCTTTGTGGCACCAACATTGAAGAGCACAGGATTTTTTTCAATATGAAACTGGACCCCAAAAGATAAACCAGCTAGTTGTTGATAAAATTATCTTCATTCCAAATGCTTAAAAAATTAATCAAATAAACTGAAAAATTATCATTCATGAAATGTACCAAAATCAGGGACAATAATAAAGTCATTTTGTCCTACGCATAAAGTACCAGTCATCTACTCGTAAGATTATATGGCAACATTTAAATTAAGGCTAACGAACACAGACCAGTATCAACAGGTTGCATATGGGTCACAATGTCAATGGCATGCTTAGAAACAGTGATACCAGATGCTACGCTGTGCACTGTATCTGTACATGGAGAAAGATGCTGGATTATTGTGTTATGCAACCATATAATGAAAAGGGTAGGAAGGACTCCTAAAAAGAGTTAAGGAAATCAGTCCTCAGAAGACGCTCCCCTTCTTCAGAGCTCTTAACTTGCAAGCAACCCAGAGCTAATCTGCCCAGATTAAGCACTGCAACCTTTCTCAGTCTAGTTTTGCCTTTTAATCTTATATAAACTGCAGTGTATTTTGTTTTTAGAGGGAGATATGAAGCAATTAGTCTGCATCTTAAACTTTGAAAGATTGTGATATTATTATACATTTTGCATACTAAACAAATGTGTCCATGTCCTCCTAGGACTACATTGTTGGCAAGACTCTCAAGCAGCCACCATTCAGAGGACACAAGACATGGCAGTTAAATTGGCAGCTGATAGATCTTTTATTCAACTGATACTTATATTCATGTCTTCAGATTATTTAATTCACAGGTAGGTTAGTTGTGCTCCAAAATGGTGGTACTACTTAGAAAGTAGATAAGCCAGTTAGGTTGCTCAATCCAAAGTATGGCTCCCCGAAATCCTGTAAGAGCATGGAGCCAACTGGTTTCTTACACACCAGAAAGTCAGTAACTTTCTCTAGTTGGACAAGAGAAAATTCCCATATAGAAGTGTGCCAATTTGCCTTCAATAGGTGAATAATGTAGGGATACCACATCTTCTCCAGAAAGGGTAGTAAAGTTCCACAAGAAATGTAAACATATTAATAATCTTCTATACAGATTTTTGTGTTTGAGAGTCTTCCTGATGTTTCAGAATTTGGAAGATTACATTCTGCCCCATGGAAGCCAATATCCTTCACTATTAGTCATGTTGCAGAACATTGGCACAGTCAAACATGTACAGAAGGACCACTTCGTACATGTCTTTCAGCCGCTCCCCCCCGCCCCCGGCACAAATGGCATTTTTCAAACTGCCCTCCATGCTTGTTTTGCCTTCAAGATCACGCCCCCCTCGAAACAAACTCTAACTTTATTGTTCAGAAGACACCATTGTACAAGTGATGCATGCCAAGCCAGGTGTGTTAAACAGTATGACATGACCTATGATTTAGAGTGGGATATAAAAGGGTGTTTTTTTTTAAAAAAAAAGCAAGAGTAGTCAGGAGATTTTCCCCCTTGTCCCTTCCCCAGATTGGCTCTTGGGGCCCTCATTCAGAAAACACAACTCAGGCAGAATAAGGCTGGGCTATCTGGCCAATTGAAGGGTCAAAAATGCCCATGCATATAAAGTGATCGGTATGTAGGAAGGTTAAGTAGCCACCTCATTCAGGCAGATAGGCAATGAGGGGGCGAGAAAGAAGTAACCGGTCCTGCTTGGCTATTCAGGACTCTTAAGCACCAGAAAGGGTGCTATCTTCCTCTCTCTTCTTCTTGGTGGGCTCTTGGGCAGGCTATTGTGTTACAGAGGCACATGCATGCACGACCCTCTAGTATCTCAAACCCTTAATGGGTTCTCCTTTCATAGTAAAGCTCATGGAATGCAAGGACATTTCATATTCCTAACAACGGGTAAAGACGATAAAAGTGTCCTTCTATGGTATGTTCACATTCCGGAAGGGGCATTTGGCCCATGACTACCATCCATCCCACCCCCACCTCCACCATTCCAATAGAAGACATCACATCCCTACAGTGCTAAACATCGGCTGATCAGTCATCCCAGCTTCTAATCAGAAACATTTCTTCATTGCACATGATTTGTCTTTCAAAGTGATTAAGAACACATCATAAAAGCAGTAACTATAACCCTTCCCTTTAAGGCCGAAAAGTGAGTCTCAGTATTAGTATCAAGAGAACAGAAGTAGCAGGAAGATAAAATGGCACTTGGCCCCAATGATGCCAGCAATGCGACCCTTAAAACCTCCAGCTCTGGGCCTGTAGAGAGCAGGACACCTGGATGCAGGCAAGCTCTTGATCGCCACTCTTCAGCACAGCTTTCAGCTTGTAGTCCCCGTTGGTGAGGAAAGAAGGCAGGTCTATATTGGGTATGAAGAATTCGGAGGAAGGCAAGTTGTAAGAACCCTGAAAAGGAAGGAAACACAAACTGTCAACATGTCTCAGCAGCGCAGTGTATGCCATATTTGCTTTATCTACCAGAGCAGGACTTTATTTTTCATCTGCCCCTGGGAACAGTTAAGGGCTTTACAGGCCATAGCTAGCACTTTGAATTCAGTAAGGGAACTGACCAGAAGCCAATGAAGGTGCACGAAGACTGGGAATATATGATCGAATTGACTTATCCCAGAAATCAGTCTGGCTGAAACATTTTCATAGATCCCACAAAGGCCTTTGATTTGGTTAGCAGGGACGGCCTTTTTATAATACTTCCCAAGATTGGTTGTCCACCTCGACTCCTTAACATCATCAGGTCCTTTCATGAGCAAATGAAGGGCACTGTAGTTTTTGATGGCTCAACATCAGATCCCTTTGACATCCAAAGCAGAGTGAAACAGGGCTGTGCCCTTGTCTCAACCCTTTTTGGGATATTTTTTCTGTCATGCTGAAGCACGCCTTTGGAACTGCAACAGAAGGTGTCTATCTCCGGACTAGATCAGATGGAAAGCTCTTTAATCTCTCTAGATTGATTGCGAAGACCAAAGTCTAGCTGAAATGCATGCGAGATTTCCTCTTTGCTGATGATGCAGCTGTTGTTGCCCACTCTGCTGAAAACCTCCAACAACTCATGTATCGTTTTAGCAAGCCCTGCCAAGACTTCGGATTAACAATCAGCCTGAAGAAAACACAAGGCATGGGCCATGGACTCACCTCCCTCTATTACCATCTCCACACAAGAATTGGAGGTTGTTCATGGCTTTGTGTACCTTGGCTTACCAACATCCCTAGATGTTGAGCTGGATAAACTCATTGGCAAAGCAGCCACCATGTTCTCTAGACTCACAAAGAGAGCATGGCTTAATAAGAAGCTGACGGCATATACCAAGATCCAGGTCTATAGAGCCTGTGTCCTGAGCACACTCCTGTACTGCAGTGAGTCATGGACCCTTTGTGCATGGCAGGAGAGGAAGCTGAACATGTTCCATATGCATTGTGTCTGGAGCATTTTTGGTATCACCTGGCAGGACAAAGTTCCAAAGAGAGTAGTCCTGGAACTAGCTGGAATGTTTAGCATGTATACATTACTGAAACAGTGATGTCTGCGTTGGCTTGGGCATGTCATGAGAATGGCTGATGGTTGAATTACAAAAGATCTCCTGTATGGAGAATTAGTGCAGGGAAATCGCCCCAGAGGGAGACCACAGCGATACAAGAACACCTTAGGAATGGACCTGAACAGATAGAAACTTTGCCATCTGAGCATTCAGCCTGGAGGCAGGTGGTGCATCATGGCATCTCCCAATTTGAAGAGACCCTTGTCCAGCAGGCTGAGGGAAAGAGGCAGTCCCGAAAGCAGCAAAATCAGGGAGCTGGACAGGGGACAGATTGTATTTGTCTTCAGTGTGGAAGGGACTGTCACTCTCGAATTGGCCTTCTCAGCCACACTAGATGCTGTTCCAATTCCTCCAAACAGAGCACGTTACCATAGTCTTTCGAGACTGAAGGGTGCCTAATCTGAATCTGATCTGCCACATTTTGGACCTGCTGAAGTTTCTATGCAGCCCTATGCAGGGAGCACAAATGGGCACAAATGGCTAGTTTGGACATGGTTCATTTCCTGGCTGAACAGCTGATCCGTGGTTCAGTGCCTTGCCCCGCCCCACCTTGCCTCCTGCGGGTGCTGCTGCTGGAAGGGACCAAGCACTGAATGGCAGATTTCAGCTGGGAAATGAGCCACACCAAAGCAGTGGTTCCTACCCATCTCTACTAGAGAGCATTACAGTAGTCCATTTGTGAGATTATCATTGCATGAACTGCTGTGATTAGGCCTTTCTTATCTAGGTAGGGGGCAACTGGGCAATCGATTGGAGTTGCTAAAAGGCACTAGCTGATATTTGAGCCTCCATAGACAGTTCAAGAGTACCCCCAAGTGTGGACCCAGTTCTTCAGTGGAGTGTAACTCCATAAAGAGCAACTGAATTTCCCTAGAACCTTTCCAATAATCCTCCTAACAGTAGCATCTCCATCTTATCTGGATTCAGTTTTTGTTTATTCGCTCTTGTCCTTTCTATTATAGATGCTAGACAGTGGCCAGGTACCTTTGTAAACCATCACCTACAGGTGAAGTATATGAGAAATACTGTACAGCTGTGTGTCATCAGCCTACCTCAAATATCTGAAAGACTTCTCCCAGGGACTCAATATAGCTATTAAAACGCATTGGAGAAATGGTCTACCTCTGTGGGACTCCATAGGAGAAATCCCAAGAGGTGAAGATGTCATCCCCAAGCTGTAGCATCTGGGATCAGCTATCCAGGTAGGACTGGAAATAGCAGGGAGCAGAGTCCCCTATCCCTAAGCTTCATAGCCTTTCCAGAAGGATACTATGATCCATACTATTAAAGGACACAGAAAAATTCAGGCGGATCAACAGGGTTGCAGTCACCCATCTGCCTTCCTTAGAAGACCATCTTGCAGGACAGCCAGTGTTGTTTCAGTACCATGCCAGGGCCTAAATCCCGACTGAAATTCAGCCTTGCAGCACAGTACTTTAGGTGGGGAAAAACTCACAGACCTTTGGTGTACATTTTGTTTAGCATGATGTACAAACCAGGCACTCTGGCTGGTATCTCTCTATTTCTTAACAAGGCAGTGAAACAAACTACAGATTAAACCTTGGGTGGGTTCTTTCTCTGGCTTTCTGGAGGACAAACAGGAGAAAGTGGTGGCTGCTGCCAGCTCTGCACACAGTGTTTGAAAAAGGTACTGATCAGAGGACAAACGGAGTGATTAAGAATCCGGAGAAAGCACACTGGCTCATGCTTGATCCAAATGTACACATTAGACTGCTTAAAGCACAAACTGATGAAAAATAAGAAATTACAGATTAATGGACACATCCCTCCCCCCATCTCCAAAATAAGAACCAGCTCCACACTGGTATCAGCTGATCACCAATCTAAATTTGCCTGGTCAAGACAATGGATTTGACATGTCAAAAGGAAGAACATGTTATTTTCTATGCTTTGTTTGCACGCTGGGAGATGTGGTTTCTGATCTCTAAATTTTCCAAGGTTCAAGCTGCTGTCCGCTTATCCAGTACAGAGGAGCTACAGCAGGAGCACAGCACAAATGATGAACCTCGGCTTGGCACACCCTGAAATGCTAAAGGAACTTGGAAAAGGTCTTATAGGCTGCCTCATTTTAAAGTTAACACTGGCAAGATGAAGAAGAGCAACAGAATTGGGCAGGAACAGAACATAATTAAGGTTCTTACCCAACTTTCCAGAATAGTTGCATTTTTGAAACCCTTGCTTCAGGAACCAAGCAGTGAGATTTGCACTGAAAATTCTGCAATCCAGTTCCATTTCAATTCTCCTCCCTTTCCTGTCCTAATAATCTCTTAATACATGTGTATACGTGTTTTTAAATTCAGAAGTGCAAGACCAGGGTTTTGCAGCCAGATGGTCTTGTCCATGAGGCAACAGGATTAAAAACAGCCCAGTCTTTCCCAAATGAATAAACAAAGAGAAGTCCAGCTCAAGAGGCTGCTATTCCAACTGGGATTTGTATTTTTGTTCCCAAGAGCAGAGAACAAGGTGACGTTTGACTTTACCGCTTTGAAGGGACAATGACAAGGTATGCCGTAAGACAGAAGGGGTTCCGGACATGGTACGCCAGGAGGGATAAGAGACTCCAGTATGGCACAAACATCTTCATAGAAGCAGCTCCCGAGTTTATCCACGCAGGGGATCTTAATCCACATTTGACCAAGTCTCTTCTCCAAAGTGACATTTGCCTAGAAGGAAAAAAAAAATCCACAAATAAAAATGTTTAAATGGCCTGGCACTTTCCTCCATAAATGTTCCTCTCTTCTTCAGTAACATTTTCATGGAGCAATTTTCAGGACCAGCTCTACCACTAGACAGTGAGTGAGGCACTTTTTTCAGGTGGCAGAGCCTGGAAGGCAGATTGGGCAGTCACGCTGTTCTTTCAGCCCTCCTGGCCTTTCTCCTCACAGAGGGCAAAGCTGTGTGTATCACATAGTTTGCTCTCCCTACCCCTTATCTAAATCTGCTGCCTGAAAGTGTTTATTTTTTAATTATATAAAATCCATCCATGTTGACTTAACATCGTGCCACCTGGGTACAGCTTATAATCATTTGTTAAAACAACTACCATACACATTACGCTCCTAATCTATACAACATCCTTCTAACCATTGATAAAACAAGTCCCATGTTTGATAATATTTTTATCTTCTTTCCCTTAGATTTTCAGTGTTAGTCTATCCATTTCGGTGCAGTCCACTATCTTTTTAATTATTTCTTGATCCGTAGGTGTTCCTTCCTTTTTCCAGAACTGTGCATATATAATCCTCGTGGCTGTTAAAACATGCACTATTAAATATACATTTTGTTTATCAACACTTTCTGGTATTATACCTAACAGAAGGAGCTCTGGCCTAAAGTCTACATGCTTTTTGATTATTTTAACAAGCCATGTATGTATTTTGTTCCAAAAGCTTTTTTGCTTTATCACAAGTCCACCGGAGGTGATAATAGGTTCCAGTTTTTTTAATGACATTTCCAACATTTACTTGACCTATTAGAATACAAATGTTTTTAAATCCAGAGGGGCAAGACATTCAGGTCCAGCTGCCAGGTTTGAAGTAAAAGTCAGCTCCCAGTCTGGTTGCACATGAAACTGAAAGGGATGGGAGGTGTAAGGCTTGCCTCTTCCGTTGCCTCCTGAACAACCTATAGGCTGTTACCTGAATGTGTGCGACTCATAATGCCACCTGTTTTGTGAGAATTCTTTTCTACTGGGAGTTATGCAGCTAAGTTTCATCCTTACTTCTCTAGTTATCATTTCAACACAACAATAGTGTGGGGGGGGGAGGCCATTTTAATTAAAACTGATCATACTGGGAGGTGATGTATGGTTAGTGCCACTGGTATACATTCATTTTTCATGATTTTTTTCCCTTTAAAGGCTATCTGGTTTATTTTAAAAGGGGAGAAAGAGAAATGCAGAAAAAGGAATCTCTGTGGCAAGAAACTACAGGAGCAAAGGATGTTGTCATGTACCAGGTCACTATTTATCTCTATAACCCCACCTAGTTTTAGCTGTTCTGCAGTGTCTGGCATGGATTTCTTTAATTCCTGGCATCTAGAAGAGACACTAAGGGCTTTCTATGGGCAAAGCAGCTGTTCTACCAATGAGCTATGCCCACTTGTTTGATATACATCTAATTAAGGCACCTGTAAGACCCCGGAAGCACCTGGCTAGGTGGTTCCTGAGAGACAAAATGCAGCAGGTTTGGGTCTATTCACCAAGGCAACCTGTGCCATCAAGTCTCCACAAAAGGGCAGTAAAGAGCAAGAAAGTGGCATGGCAAGACAAGGAGGTCCTGCAGTATCTCTTTCACTGCTGCTGAGAATGAGAGCCTATGGACATCAAAGCCCTCCTGGTTTTCTTTTACTACATCATGTCACTGGTTCAGGGGTTTGGAAGGGGAAAGAGAAAAAGAGCTGTAACCTCCTCCTCCCCATCTGCTTGTTTGCCCAAAATTCCCCTGCTGCCTCTCCATCCTCCTAATGGAGGTTTCTTAAAAGCCTGGGTGTGTGTGTGTGTGGTGGTTGCTACATGCTGTCGAGATGCATCCTACCAAAAGCAACCCTGACAAGATTTTCAAGGTAGGTGAGTTATGTAAGGAATGGTACCACTGCCACTCCCCCATCTCCTGAGCTTCCATGGCCAAGTGAGGATTTGAACTCAGGTCTCCTGAGTCCTCTTCCATCACTCTGTCCACTACACCAGAGTCTCTCCTCTCACCTGGGAGGGGTAAAGGGATTTTAAAATAGACCGAGGAGAGGATATGCCTCTTTTTGTGCATTAGGGCCCATATGCTTACTTTTGAGTAAAAACACCTGCAACTTTAAGCCACCTGCTGCTTTTTTTTTACTTCTAACACAAGTAGTTTAACCCTCAGAGATAGGTGAAATTTTCAATAAGCAAAGAGCAGACATAGTAAAGGTAAATGTTCCCCTTGACATTTAGTCCAGTTGTGTCTGATTCTAGGGGGGAGGCGGTGTTCATCCCCATCTCCAAGCTGTAGAGCCAGACAGTTCCCATGGTCACGTGGCCAGCGCTACTACACATGAAATGCCATTACCTTCCCACCATGGTGGTAATTATTTATCTACTCGCATTTATGTGCTTTCTAACTGCTAGGTTGGCAGGAGCTGGGACAAGAGATGGGAGCTCACTCCGTCGCGTGGATTCGATCTTACGACTGCAGGTCTTCTGAGCTTGCAGCACAGAGGCTTCTGCAGTTTAACCCACAGTGCCACCACATCAAGAGCAGACAAGGAAAGGCTTAAAACAGCCCTTCTTCCTGCCCGGCCCCATAGAAGGTCCGTGCAGCTCCTGTTCTGGTAAATGTGGAAGACAGAATAACAAAAGTATCAGCCTAAGAAAATATTTTCCTTAAACAAATCTGTCTATTGCCCTGCTTATTTCTGCTGACACTGTGGAGAAAAGGCATTAAACATCTCTTACAGAAGATCACGCATGAAGTACAGCCTGATGAGTAAGACATGTCATAAGGAACTCTCCCAGTTCCAGCTAGTTTGAACCAGATCTTTTTCATCTCCTGCCAGCAAGATACACATGACCAAAAGTTCATGAGGCCAGAAAGTTTGGGTTATTAAAGGCTCTCAAAGCCACTTCTGCTTTCATCCATGCTTCTGGGAACAGCTGAGGTGACTAGACCCCACCCATACATATCAAGCTGTGTCTTGTAGTAATTGAACTGTGTCCATATTGAAAATGAACTAACTTAATTTACACCTCCATGTCTAATACTAATTGGATGGCAATTATCCTTCAGACTTCACGGGTGATAGAGTTCTTTACCCCAAAAACCTCACTAAGAAGTGGACAGAGTATACCGTGTAAGATGGGGATAGCAAGGTTGGTCAGCCAAGGAATCCTCCAGATTCCTGGAGCTAGCACTGACTATGCCTCCTAGCTTACTTTTTAAATCACAGCAGCCCGTTTTGGAAGCTGCTCTCAAGAGCAAGCACAGTCACGCTATATAGCACAGATACCTGGGTTGATTCCCAGGATAGCCACAATTTGTCTGCACCTGTCTTCATTCAGGAAGAATTCCTGCCCTTTGAAGCAAGTGGGAGTTTGCTTTGGTTGCACTAAAGAAGCACTACAAAGGGTACACAAATTCCATAAAGCTACCTCTTGCCACAGTTCTGTATTCTGTTCCGAAAAGGAACTCAAAAGATAAAAAATGCAGAAGCCCTAACCGTGAAATGGCTCTTGTAGGCACATGTCCTTTCTATCTCTCTTTCCCACACACAAAGTTTTAATATACTCCACCTGACAGATGCTTATTTCAACACTGCATGCAAAACTTGGTAGAAAATGGAACTTCCTTCTGCATAATTTTTTGAAAATGTCTGAATCTATGTTTTTATGCAACTGTGCAAAGAGTCACACAGCATTCTCATTTCTCTTATTCTGACACCAGACCAGAAGATATACTCATTTATTAACAGAGAAAGGGGGGGAGGGGAACTGGGGAAGGCAGGTGGCTCAGATATGAGAACAGAACACAGTTTGACCATGCATGCATTTCTGGACTGAACTACGGACACAGATCCCTCTTTTCCGCTCTTGCAGCCATTCCCAATCTCCTTTACTCGCTTCAGACAAACCTCAGTTTCCAATTTTGTCTAAACCTGCCCACGATTGCCTTGCAAAATAGGTTAGAATACTAACAAGATCAAACCTTTATTCCAAACTTGTGCACATGTCATACCACAGTGAGGCACTAGACCTGAAGCACCCTGGACAGGACTACATGGCCAGAATCCTATTGCAGATTTACACTACTATAAGTGTAATTGCATACATCCCTGATGGTGAGTTGTCAAAGCAAAATAAAGTATGCTGCTTATATACCACCCTATAGTAATTAAAGCACTTTCTGGGCGGTTTACAATTTAATTCTGCAGGCTACACATTGTAAACCTCCCCCACAGGAAGTTGGGTACTCAATTTACCAACCTCGGAAGGATGGAAGGCTGAGTCAACCTTGAGCCAGCTATCTGAGCCCATTGGGATCGAACTCAGATCACGAACAGAGTCTTGGCTACAGTACAGCAGTTCAACCTCTGCGCCACATGGTGCTGCTCACATTCCTAGCTGCATGTTAGTCATGTGGTGTGGTGCACAAGTAGGAACACAAGCCACAACTTGTTAAGAAGCAGCCATTTACCCAATTTTACTCATCCCCATATGAATCTGCTAGAGGATTCTGGTCCATACCTGAAGGCATTCTGGGAATCTGTAAAAGGAGAGAAAGTAGCAGAAAGGCAAGTAACCTAGAGGTCTGACTCAGGCTGAAAAACACATTCAGGAGGAACTTCTTACACAGAACATCTTTTAAGGAAGTTGACAGCCGAGTCAAGGCATTCATGCAGGCTACCTCTGACCAAGGAACACCATTTCTCCTATTGCCAGTTTCGTTGTCGAGTCTGCCTCAGCTTCCCTCCACTTTAAAACAGGAACAATGACAAAAATGTAATAGTGCAACAATTAGGGAAGCTGGAGGGAAATGCCGGTAGAATGATAACAAAACCAGCAAAGGCAAGACACTCTCCTCACCCCTCAAAAAAGTGGGGAGGGAAATGGCTGGGAGCAAGAAAGCACTTTAAACATTTAGAGCACAGTGCTTTGGGAAGGGGACCAACATTTAGATCTAACTTTATGATACCACTACTAGGTACAGTTTGTAGGCATGTACCATTTTTTCAGATCTCTACAACCTTGCCTTGCCTTCATTCTTGCAGGCAACTTCTATTTTGACATCATCTATACCAGTCTAGGCTTCTAGCCTCTACTGTTTTGGCTTCACTCCTCTACAGGCAAGGTTGATACAGTGGTGCCTTAGCGATGAGGTTTTTGGAGCAATTTTGCGCTCCGTTTAGCGATGTTCCCTATGGGGAAATTTCGCATAGCGATGTTCGGGACCGTGCCTCACTTAGCGATGACAGTTTAGGTCCCCCTGTTTTGCTTAGCAATGTCCGTTTTCGCTATTTTAAGTGTGTCTTAAAATGTTCAAAAACTGTTTTAAATGCTTGGGATCGTTAGCGCACCTTGTAAAACCTTTGCAAACTTCATTTGGCTTTGTTCTGACTCTTCGTTAATTTTTGGTGAATTTTCCTCCTCATTGGAATGCACTGAACTGTAGGTTTGACAGCTATCAAACCTGCAGTTCAATGCATTCCAATGGGGAAGAAAAAATTCACCAAAAATTAACGAAGAGTCAGAACAAAGCCAAATTAAGTTTGCAAAGGTTTTACAAGGTGCGCTAACGATCCCAAGCATTTAAAACAGTTTTTGAACATTTTAAGACACACTTAAAATAGCGAAAACGGACATTGCTAAGCAAAACAGGGGGACCTAAACTGTCATCGCTAAGTGAGGCACGGTCCCGAACATCGCTATGCGAAATTTCCCCATAGGGAACATCGCTAAACGGAGCGCAAAATTGCTCCAAAAACCTCATCGCTAAGCTAATACATCGTTAAACGAGGCAATCGCTAAGTGAGGCACCACTGTACTTAACATTTGGGAACAAAGTTGCTGAACAGGAAAGGAAGGGCTTAGGTCCAACCCAATCTCTGCTGATAGCTCATCAGATGTGTGGGAGAGCTTTATCCACACTTGTAGCACTTGGAGAAAATTGGAAGTTAATATTTCATTAAGGGAGGTCATAATGAGCCCAGCTCTTACTGGTATTTTCACAATGAACACACATTCACTGCATTATGTATAAGTCATATGTGTCCCAAATCAGCAAAGGAAGCTTTTAGTCAACATGATTTGCCACTGCTACTGATGGCACCCCTGTTCCATATGTAGAGCTGTGAAACAGGATTCGGCTAATTCCATTTTAATGTTTTAGACTTTATTTTAATTTTTGCCTTTAAAAACAAATAAAAAAACTATACTTGAGGCAGCCCTGAGTCCCAGTTCTGAGATAAACATACTGTTATGTGCTGACAAGTCACTTCTGACCGATGGTGACTCAATGAGTAAATGACCTCCAAAAGCCCCTATTGCTAAAACCCCTTAGGTCTGTGGAAGCTCTGGCTTCCTTCATGCTGTGGCCATCTATAAACATATATTTGGGGTTTATGAAAGAAAATAGAACTTCTTCTGTCCATTATATGAATCTAGCAAAGCCCATCTTGAGAGACAGAGCAGGCCCGAGACATTCAGGTCAAGATACATAGTACCCAAGGCTAGCCAAATTATTTTGGTACAAGAGACAGAAAATCTCTCTTGGTCCCTGGTCTTAAAAACTGGATAATGATACATTTAAAACTTTCATGATGTTCAGAATCCACTGCCTGAAAACAGCTGCCTTAATTTCTCTAATAGTAGGTTTGATCCGGTGGAATGACAGTAAACAATAACTGTCATGCCTGGGGCTTGTTTGAGATCCTAATGTATGAGATCTTAACTGCAAGGCTAGGAGACGAGAGCCCACTCCTGCTTAGCCTCTGTTTTCCAGCATTACCATTTTGAGCATACTTAAATGCCTTCTCTTGCCATGTTTCTGACTAAATAAAATTATTCCTCAAGATAATATATACATGTGGGGAGCCTAATCTAATAAAGCCTAATTCTGCACACTGAGTGCTATAAACAGTTCAATGGAATTGTATATTCACTATGCAAGCCAAAGGAACAAATCCTTTTTGTTTTTAAAAAGATGTGACTGACCCATGTTGAGTAATTATTGTGAGATTTTAAAAGCAATTAACACGTGTTCTTAACATACGTTATTTAATTTTGAATATCTTTTTATAACATCCTTTAAACCTTGATGACACCCTTGAAGGTTGGCCATTGATACACCACCACAAAGGAGAACAGGCATTACCAAAAAGGAGAGTGAAGATAATATTTCTTAATGAAAAAGGAGGACACTTTGCATTAAAACTGCATATGTAATTCTAGTCCTTTTTTTAAAAAAAAAAATCCCCTGTCCAGGTTGATTTTCAATCCATTAAAAGGCCAGCCGGTACTTTCCTCTTTCAACCCCTGCTTTTCTTTAAAGGAGGCTGCTAGAAAAAAATGGGGGCACTGGAAAGCAGAAAGTTCCAACTTTGACTGCAGGTAACTAATTTGGGTAAAATGGCCAGATGATAGTGGAAGTCATCTATGTCAGGTAAAGGGCAATGCCACTGAGAGTACTTGATTTCCCCCTCCAGGTCACATGGCCCAGCCAGCCCAAGAGAAGGAGGCACTCATTCACTCATGTGGAGCTGGAAGTTCAATCCTCCACACCCTTCCCCACATGCTGTTGTCACCACAAAGGGAGAGGCAGTCAGGACAGGAGGGGTGGCTTTTAAGCCTGGCTCTGAGGGGTTCCCTTGAAGCCAAGACATGATGGGAGGGATGTCCAATGAAATCACTCGAAGTTGTTACAAATTCTCTGCATAACTCCTACATATAATGCCATGGCATTACAAATAGCCCCTTACCACACTATGGTTCCTGTGTCTTCCTTTTCTAGCAGGGCCAGTATGAGGGGAGGGTGCAGAAGCACCACTGCATGGGCGGGTGCCTTCCATACAGGATTGGGTAGGCAGCCTGGCATAGCAGCTCACTGGCTGCACGGTGTTGCACATGCCTGCTTGAAGTGTATGTTCCGCTCCTCACATGACCTCCAGTCTGAACTATATATCAGACAGAGGGAAAATGTTGGGTTGTTTGGCCCAATTGTGGAACACTGGCCATGCTAACCCCTTGTCTATTGATCGCTCTCTATTGGAGTGTCCAGCCAATGAAATGTAGCCAAAATAAGTAGGAAGACTGGCTGTACATCTGGCATCTAAAAATCAAGATATCAAGGCTGAGGCCCACCGACTGAGAAGCCTAATGGCTAAACAATGCTGTGTAGAGCACCTACGTTTTCCCAGAGCTTTCGGTGCTAAGAATCATACAACAGAACAAACAAAGTAGAAATTCCTTGAAAATTAGAGGTGCTGAGCACGTCCTCCCTTGGAAACAGCTCATCACAAACAGCAAAGTAATGAATTTGTAGATTCAGTTAATTAATAGTTAGTTATTACCCTGTATATGTGATTTTTAATGTATGCCACCTAGAGTAGTCCTGACCCGACCAGATAGGCGAGAAATAAATAAATTAAAATGCCAATAAAGGTTCTGACTGACTCAAGCAGAGGCCCTGAATTTCTTGACTCTTCAGTTTCTCCTTCTGCATTTTCATCCCAACTAAGCAAAGCACAAGGCGTCAGCAGGAAAAGCTGCAGTGCGTCCACACAGCAATTAGTAGTGCCATATATGTAATCTGATGCCAGACTTGATTGTTTCTTGCATAGCATGAAAACTCTGTTAACCCTTCTGAAAAGTCCAAGTATATTTTGAGGTTCCTGAATATCAGACATGTGAGGCATCATTTCTGTCTGGCTTAGCCTCATTGCCTCTCCCTTACCTGCACAGGTGCTTCGACGGCCACTGTGGTGGAGACGGATGCGCATACTGTCACTTTTCCTGGGATTTCAATTGGACTCGGATCAACAGACAGGCTTTTAATCACAGCAGGATCTGATGAAGGACCACAGTTCTCCCACTCAAAGCTCTCCACCTAAAGGATTCAGACGAAGAACATGTCAAAAGAACTACATCGAAACTGAAAAGGGGGCCATGGTCTGGATGAAGCCATAACAAACAGCAGGTAGTGAACTGAAAATCAAGAACCTGAAGGAAGTACAGAACGTCAGACTCTTGAGGTAGGGAAAATATAAAATTGAAGGAGGACGTTGAGGAAGAAAGGATGTGATTATGTACAAGCATCACACACTCAGCCATACTCCTGGCAGGAAAGTGGACAGGGACAGGAATGCTGAGCTACGTAGGAGACAGGGGGTTGAAAGAAGGGAAAGCAAACTAGAACAGATGACAAGCCTGAGGAAATAATGGGTGGCAGCTAGATACACTAGGAAATGAATGCTAGTGGTATCTAGACTCTCCTGCACCCAAACACTAGATACACTACACCACACTGAGAATCCAGTTTGTCCTACAAAAAAGATGGAGCAGAAGTATAATTAGATTGCTCTTTGTTGTCCCCCCCTTTTGCAGGTAGAAGGTATTTCTACTCAGACAATGGTTTAGGATAAATAATCTGTTGGCCACATGGGTTTTTAACTGGATAGATGGTTCTCGTTACTGCTCTTTCGTTGTTTGTTTGTTTTGCCTTAACTAATCTACTTGCATATTTTATCTGCATTTTATTATTGCCTGTGGCCCTGAGTGCCATTTTTGCTAAAAGGTGAAATATAAATTTGAGGGGAAATAAGGTAGGAAAGTGTGATGGCAAGAGGAGAAGGGGACGACCGAGGATGAGATGGCTGGACAGTGTCTGCGAAGCAACCAACATGAATTTGACAGAACTCCGGGAGGCAGTGGAAGACAGGAGGGCCTGGCGTGCTCTGGTCCATGGGGTCACGAAGTGTCGGACACGACTAAACGACGACGACGTCCCTCTCCTACGGCACAAGTTGGGTGAATTGAATCAGGGCTATAGAACTAGATCTGAAGAGCAAAAAGGAGATCCTCCATTAATGTACATGTTGGGATCTACCACTTCTGACAAATACTCCTGTATGCAACTCTTCCCCACCCCCACCCCCTTCTTGGGGCCAGAAAACTAGCTGGCACACCATTAACTTCTCCAAACATCTCATGTTTCTGTCTGTTGTAACATTTATGTATGGATGATTACTGCTGAGATTCCCTGCCCTCAATAGGGTTGCCAGACATCTGGCAAAAGGAGGACATGTCCTCCTTTTTAGTCTAATGTCCTCTGTCCAGCAGGCAAAGATAAAAAACCTTTAAAATGTCTGGCTTTTGTATATTTTATGTTATAATTTTGAATGGGAGGGGGAGAAGTGGAAGGACCCCCCTCCCCCTCTCTTTCCCCGACCTGACATTTATTGGCAGCTATTGGAATAAAATTGTATTGATTGCGGGTTTAATCCGGAACAATTCAAATGAAACATTCAATACATCCTCCTCTGTCCTCTTTTTTTGTGTTTCTATGTCCTCCTTTTTGGTACCCACGTATCTGGCAACCCAAGCCCTCAAGTCAAAAGTGGCAGAACCCTGCCGGCGCCATAGTTCCTCTTTCAGGGAGGCCTGCACTTCTTTATTAGGCTTCATTAAATCCCAAGGCCTTAAAGAGAAGATAGCCAACAACAGTCTTTATGCTTTTAGAAGGGCCAGGTTGAGCAATAGAAAACTTCAGAAGGCCAGAGTAAGCTGTGAGCTGATAAGAAAAAGAAAACAGGCAGGCAGGAGAAATTGTTTTATTGTGGCCCTTCAGACTGCGATACATCTCTTGGCCGTCCCAGTGCTTTCTATTAGCTCTCCGCTCTACTGCTGGACATTTTAACCTCAATAATGCAGATCATCCACACACATCAACTTGCAGACATTGTTGTTGTTTTTAAAGTCACTTCAAACATATCAACTTCCAGTGCAGAAAGCAGTTTTGCACCCAAATAAGCATGCAGTCGCCCTGCAATTATGCCCAGAGCTTGGATTTTTTTTATTGATTGATTTATTGATTGGACTCAGAGACACCTCCAGTGAACAGGACCAGTGATCTTGTTGGGTAGAGAAATTCTGGTTTGTAAGAAAAAATTGTCTTTTCGAAGCTCTGGTTACACCTGCAAACAGGGCTCTTATTTCTCAAACAAATGCCTCTCGTGTAGGAGGCTGCAGCCTTGGCTTAAACAGACTGGTTGAACAGGGACAACTTGCCTCAGCTTCAACCAGTAAAACCTCAGTTCTGTGTGGGGCTTTTATATTCCTCAGGATCTTTTTTGATACAACAGCACAGCACTACAAACTGCCATTTCATCATCCTCTGTACTCCAGGCTTCTATATGCTAGACTGGGTGGACAACCACAGGGCCACTCCCCAGATGCTTCACTAATTCATTGTGTCCTATAAACCTTCACTCCATTTTGGATGAAGTCCAAATTCACGGATTCACCAAACCTGAGGAAAACACATTCCTTGAAAACATGTGCCTAAAGTTTAAATTAAGTCACTCATTTAACACAGCCCGCTTAGCTAAGTTTTAAGTTTTCTAAAATGTTATAAGACTTGCTTGATTCTATTTGGCTATGGGAGTTTATAGTACATCCACAATTAGATATCCAGGAAGTGACAAATAAAGTAGCTTTGAAAAGCTTTCTGTTAGTTTCCTAACTAAGAGGAAGCTTTTCTGTTAATTAGCAGCTTTTTCTGTTAGTTTAAGACTCTGACTTAAGACTGTTCGGTAAAAAGTGACGGTTCAGACTATTCTTTGACCAAGCAGTCAATACTTTATTCTTATTTATTTTATTAGATTTATGCCTCACCCATCTAGATGAATGGTCTGCTCTGGGCGGCATTACAAAATTGAAAAACAATAGAACCAATAAACATGCAAAAATACAAGATGTAAAATTGTAAATACAACAATGACCAAATAGAAGGCAACTGTTGGCTTATGGCAGGATGAAGTGGCAAGATGCCATAATTTTAAGGCTGTGCGTGCCTGTCAGCTCTCAAGCAGGGCTCGGAGACAATGCTGATCATGTTTGTTTTGCTATTTAGGGATGTTAAAGAAGAGTACAGCAAACAGCTTTTGTGTGTCTCAAAGGCATGCCTGGCCTTGCCCGGTGTAGAGGCACTGCAAGGCAAAATCAGAATATGCACAATGCAAGACAGTAGCTGTATATTTTGCAAGTGATGAGAGTTCCTGTATGAGGAGTATGTATGTAATTCTCCTTTGAATTAGTGCAGGGAAAGCGCCCCAGAGGGAGACCACAGCTGTGATACAAGGATATCTGCAAGCAGGTTCTGAAGACCTTAAGAATGGACCTCAACAGATGGGAAATGTTGACATCTGAGCACTCAGCCTGGAGGCAGGCGTTGCATCATGGCCTCTCCCAATTTGAAGAGGCACTTGTCCACCAGGCCGAGGCCAAGAGGCAGTCCCGAAACCAGCAAAATCAGGCAGCTGGACAGGGGACATATTGTATTGTTCTTCAGTGTGGAAGGGATTGTTTCTCTCGAATTGGCCTTCTCAGCCACACTAGATGCTGTTCCAAGTCCTCCACACAGAGCACGTTATCATAGTCTCTCGAGACTGAAGGACGCCTAATCTAAAAAAGATAAGAGCTCACTCCAGATTTCGATTAATCTGTCTTGCAAGAGTACAAAAGAAATAAAAGCAAAAGCAAACTGTGCTATTTACATACCACCCCGCAGCATTTCAAGCACTCTCTGGATGGTTTGCAAGTTAATTAAGCAGGCTACTCATTCCTCCCCCCCCCAGCCCGCAAGCTGGGTATTCGTTTTACTGACCTTGGGAGGATAGAAGGCTGAGCCACCTTGAGCCAGCTACCTGGGACTGAACCCCAGGTCGTGAGCACATTTTTGGCTGCAGTACAGCAGTTTAAGCAATGCACCGTGAGGCCCTTCAAATAAATGAAATTCTGGCTAATTTTTCCTGCTCGGCTGAAAGTACCAGGAGTTCCAGAATCAAACCAACTCTATGCAAGAAAGAGATATCTGGGGCTTCTCCCGTGTTCATATTGTACTGCAACCATTCTTCAAAATTAGGATCACAACATATACATTGCACAGAGCACTCTGTTATCCAAAGTTACATGATAGGTTTGAAGTTAATTAGATAATCGCCTTAATGAGGTCTGTAAGTGCTTATTAAGTATCTGATTGTATAATTCCTATGAATTTGAAGGGCCTAGCTGGATTAAAGCAAAGGCTTATTCACATTCTTTTCTCACAATGGCCAGGAAGACACCAGACAAAACTCTACTACAGAAGGGAAAAAAAAGATAGCCATGACGTCTTTAATTCTAAGCAGTAAGAGCCAGACTCAGTCTGTAAGCACCTTAAAGGTAAAGGTTCCCCTTGACATTTAGTCCTGTCGTGTCCAACTCTAGGGTGCAGTGTTCATCCCCGTTTCCAAGCCATGGAGCCAGCGTTTGTCCATAGACAGTTTCTGTGGTCACGGGGCCAGCACGACTAGACACGGAACGCCATTACCTTCCTATAGTGGTGGTACCTAGTTACCTACTCACATTTTTACATGCTTTCAAACTGCTAGGTTGGCGAGGAGCTGGGACAAGCAGCGGGAGCTCACTCCGTCGTGTGGATTCAATCTTATGACTGCTGGTCTTCCAACCTTGCAGCCCAGAGGCTTCTGTGGTTTAACCCGCAGCGCAAGCACTTTAAGGGTGGGCTAATTATGACAGAATAAAAAAGATACTTTTTTTCTGAAAGACTGGCCAAAATCCTATTGGGATAATACAAACAGTATAATTTTGGAGGTTTTGCCTCAAAATGAGATATTGCTGTAGACATCTGTTGTGTAACCCAGTATGCAACAGACAGTGTCATGTCTATGCTGATTTCTTAACTGGAGGCAATTCACAACCAAAGATTATACCATTCACATTATGCTTGCTGACATAACTAATGGAATTTGGCCACTGACATTGAACACCATAGCCTTGGGTTGCTATGTTACTAAACTTAACTAAATAACTTTTAGTTTGCTTCAAAGATTAGTGTCTATTAAGAATTTTATATTCATGTTTACTGTGGCTGGTAACCAATCAACCAAACTTTCCTTCTCAGGGTATACTTTTATATACACAGAGAGCTAAGAAACATGAAAATGAGAAGGTTGAAGAACCCCCTGATAAGGAACATCCAAGGTGATAAGGAAACGATAGGGTCTCTCCGTGGAGATGATGGCCAGTTACTAACAGGGGACAGGGAAAAGGCAGAACTACTCAATACTTTCTTTGCCTCAGTTTTTTTCCAAAAAGGAAAATAGTTCTCAACCTGAGGGATGAAGAGCAGGTGAACTAGTGTGGGAAATGCAGCACAGAACAGGTAGAGAAGTAGTACAGGATTACCTGGCTACCTTGGATTTAAGTCTCCTGGTCCAGAGGAATTACATCCAAGGATATTAAAAAAAACTGGCAGAAGTAATATCAGAACCATTGGCAATAGTCTTCAAGAATTCCTGTAGAACATGGGATGTTCCCACAGATTGGAGGAGGGCAAATGTTGTCCCTATCTTCAAAAAGGGGGGAAAAGAAGACTCAAATAATTATTGCCCCATCAGTCTGACATCAATTCCTGGAAAGATTCTAGAGATGATCATTAAGCAGACAGTTTGTAATTACTTAGAAAGCAATGCTGTCATTACTAGAGGTCAGCACAGGTTTCTCAAAAACAAGTCATGCCAGACTAATTTGATCTCTTTTTTTGATAGAGTTACAGGCCTGGTGGATGAAGGAAACACTGTGGATGTAGCAAATCTTGATTTCAGTAAGGCCTTTGACAAAGTTACTCACAATATTCTTGCAAAGAAGCTAGCAGAATGTGGGATAGATAGTGCTATTGTTAGGTGGATTAGTAATTGGTTGACTGACTGGACCCAAAGGGTGATCACGAATTGCTCCCCTTCATCTTGGAAAGAGGTGACTAGTGGGGTGCCCCAGGGTTCTGTTCTGGGTCCCGTGTTATTCAACATCTTTATCAATGACTTGGATGAAGGAATAGAGAGTATGTTGATTAAATTTGCAGATGATACCAAATTGGCAGGGGTTGTTAATTCCCCAGAGGACAGGATTAAAATTCAAAATAATCGTAACCTTGACAGATTAGAATCCTGGGCCAAAACTAACTTAATGAATTTCAACAGGGAGAAATATAAGGTCCTACACCTAGGCAGAAAAAATGAACTGCACGGATATAGGATGGAAGACACCTCGCTAGACAACAGTACCTTTGAAAGGGATCTAGGAGTCTTGGTAGATCACAAGCTGAACATGAGTCAGCAGTGTGATATGGCTGCCAAGAAAGCCAATGCGATTCTTGGTTGTATCAATAGGAATATAGTGTCTAGATCAAGAGAAGTGATAGTACCACAGTATTTTGCTTTGGTCAGACCTCACCTGGAGTGTTGTGTCCAGTTCTGGGCACCTCAGTTCAAAACGGATGTTGACAACCTGGAATGTATCTAGAGGAGGGACTAAACTGGTTAAAGGTCTGGAAGCAATGTCGTATGAGGAGCGGCTCAGGGAGTTGGGAATGTTTAGCATTACAAAAAGAAGGTTGAGAGGGGACATGATAGCCATGTTTAAATATTTGAAGGGATGTCAGGTTGAAGAGGGAACAGGTTTGTTCTCCAGGACTCCAAAGACTAGGACACAGAGCAATGGTTTCAAACTACAGGAAAAAAGATTGCATTTGAGCATTAGGAAGAACTTCCTGATGGTCAGAGCTGTCCGGCAGTGGAATAGGCTGCCTCAAAGGGTGGTGGGGTCTCCTTCTTTGGAGGTTTTTAAGCAACGGCTGGATGGCCATCTGTTGGGAGTCCTCCGATGGATGTTCCCGCTTGGTGGGGGGTTGGACTGTATGACCTCATTGGTCTCTTCCAACTCTATGACTCTATGACAACTCTCTGAGGATTGCCTGTTTTGCTACTTTCTGCAAAGCCACCCAATGTCACAGAGAAACTGCTTAGACAACCATCTGGCAAATATCCTTTGATTAGTATTCCTGTGATGAGCAGGGGGTTGGACTCGATGGACTTATAGGCCCTTTCCAACTTTATGATTCTATGATTATCAGACCAGTCATTCTAATAAATGTTAGAACATTTCTTCCTTACATGTTACACCCACATAAGGCAATGGGTTTTCATTTTGGAAGAGCAGTCAATCGTGTAATTCCATACCTGAATTCTGGTTTCAAGAAAACTATGCCACATGACTTCTGATAGCTTAAATGACCTCTAAACCCTCACCATTCCAAAGCTCAGCCAACTTAAGTGCAGTTTTGTAATTAATGGAAAGTACTTTTATACAAAAGTATCTCTGTGACTGTGCCAAAACACACAAGCATACATATTGTTATCACATGAAATGTTTGTCTCCTTTAGAAGGTTGTGACTAATGGAAACGTTTGCCATGCAACAAAGTCTCCTTCTTTAATTCAAGGATCTGTTCCTTCACTAACAGTGCAGGTTGCTGCCAACCAAATATTTCCCCAAGCTTTGTTGGGAGTGGAGGAGGGGCACCAAAGCTTGTGGACCGAGCAGGTGCTTAGCATCTAAAAAGGCCCATGATTCATCATCCAGTAACTTTAGGGTATGACAGACATCTTTCACCCTTGTCTGAGATGCTGAAAGGCTGCAGCCGGTTGGTGTTACTGAACAGGATGAATCCTTCAACTGACATTATACAAGGCATTTTTCTACATCCTTAAGGAACGATATGCCTACTTGCTAAGTCATTTACTGGAAACATGTTCATCCAACCACATCTGGAACATTTATCATGCTTTTGGCTCAGAAGAAATATGTATGTGTGTAGGATTCTAACAAATGGACCTGTTTTCCCCATAAGATACCATGGCTCTTAGATCAAGGGAAGAGGTTCTCTAATTCAAATCTACATTCAGCTATGAAGGGCTGAGTGGTCACTATCTCAATGACTGTCCTCTGTGACTATGATTGTAGATAGCTCTACAAATCTACCGTAGAAATCCATGTGAACCAAGAGCTCTTCTTAAGCAGCATCTTTAGCCTTGGTCAAGATGTCACTGCAGAATGACACAGTTAAGAAAGAACTGTGAGGTGCTTGTGTACTACACCCAAGACAGAGGTACGCAAACACTTTCTGGAGAGAAGTCTCCCCTGCCATTCCCAGCTCACTCTTTGTAACATCTAGACTGATCAAGTGGATCTGGTGACCGCAGAAGCTTGCAGAGAACTTTATGCTGGAGGAGGGAGAACAGACAAAAATGTGCCCTAATATGGAATGTTGACTTTGTTTTATTATCAAAATAGCTATCCCTGGATTCTAACAGAAGAAACTGACACTGACCCATTTTGCATAAGGCAGATCATAATGCTATGCCTTCCACCTGACACAAGTCACTACATCATCATCATCACCATGGGCCATAATCACTCTTGAATTATATTATACAAGTATAACCATTTGACACTGTCAGTGTAACCAACTAATTTACTTAATAATATCAGTACCAAGTGTTCCTGTCTGCCAAAATTTCACTGTTCCTTACTGGTAAGAATACATACTTGCAGATGCAAGAAATGGCAAATTGATATACGAAATTATTTTATTCCCTATTTTATGGTTTTAATGATCAATTCATTTGTCTTGATGGCTTTTAGCTCTTAAAACCATAAGCAAACAAACAAACATCCAGTGACAGGAGCAGAAGTCTTAATACCTCAGGAGAAGGCACTGTTAGGCAGAGGGAAAGATCCTCGGAAAGATCTGAGGAAACATAACGAACCAGTACAGGGTTGGGGATTTGATGCCTTTGAATTGTGGTGCTGGAGGAGGCTCTGGAGAGTCCCCTGGACTGCAAGGAGAACAAACCTATCCATTCTAAAGGAAATCAACCCTGAGTGCTCATTGGAAGGACAGATCCTGAAGCTGAGGCTCCAGTACTTTGGCCATCTCATGAGAAAATAAGACTTCCTGGAAAAGACTCTGATGTTGGGAAAGTGTGAGGGCAAGAGGAGAACGGGATGACAGAGGATGAGATGGTTGGACAGTGTCACTGAAGCTACCAACATGAATTTGACCCAACTCCAGGAGGCAGTGGAAGACAGGAGGACCTGGCGTGCTCTGGTCCATGGGGTCACGAAGAGTCGGACACGACTAAAGGACTAGACGAGGACGACGACAGGGTTGGGGAACCCCTCGCCCTCCAAACGTCGTCCGTCGGTCTCCAGTTCCCATCAGCCGAATCACCAGTCCTCCCGAGGCGATGCTGCGTTGGTCTTTCAGGCGCCACGTGTTTTTGCCTTGTTTTGTTTCTTTGGATTTTGCCCGATCCGCGTGGCACGATGGCTTTCCTTCATTGAGTAACCCTACCCTTCCCGTTTAGCAGTCCCCAGCCTCTCCTTGCTCTCCCACCCCATCTCCCAAGCCCGGGAGCCGCCACTCACCTTGAACAGCCGTGCGGGCCACTTGTGGTTCTGAGCATCAAAGCGCTGGTGCTGGGGGCCTCCGCGCGCAGCTGGCCACAGCTGGAGGGCGCAGAAGGCCAGCGAGAGCACTGCGGCTTGCATGGCTGGCGCGGAGTTGCAGGAAGAGTCCAGGCGGACGAGACCGAGCGGAAGCTGTAACCGAGAGGACGGCGGTGGAGGAATTTATCGGCAGAGCAGCGGGAATCCGGCGCGCAGGGTCGGGCGTGGCGAGTGGCCCGGGGGAGGGGAGGGGGGGCGGCCGAGATAACAAAGTCCACCGGTGCAAATACCAGGCCAAAGTAAACAAGAGTCTCTGCGCTACAAGCGATGCAAGCAAGCCGGGTTGTCTGCTTAGTTCAGGCGCAGGGCTGTTCTCTTCTCCAGGCACCAGAAGCACAAAGTTCCTCCTCCGCCTTCTAGCGCATCGAGGGTGTTCCGGCCCCTCAAAAAAATAAATAAATTTTTTAAAAAATGAGAGCACCCTGGACAAGGAGAAGCGGATCTGCCCTCTGCTGGAATGGAAGGTGCATTGTCCGCTCTGTTCTAGAATCGGAGGATGATGGCGTTGGAAGGGGCTCATAAGGCCATAGGCTCCAACTCCCTCCTCAAAGCAGGAAATCTGAGTACATCTGACAGATGGTTCTTTTGATTTTTCTCTTGAATGCCTCCAGCGTTGGAGGGCTCGCCATCTCTCGAGGTAATCAGTTCCATTGTCTTACCACCTAAAAGGAAGATACTGTATTCTTGATATTCAACCAAAATCTGGCTTCCTGTAACTTGTGCCCATTGATGCACTCTGGGATGATCCAGAACAGATTCTGCCCCTCCTCAGTATGACAGTCTTACAGTATTTGAAGAATGCTATCATATCCTCCCCCCCTCCGCCCCATAGTCTCTTCTCAAGGCTAAACATCCCCAGTTCTTTCAGCCCTTCTTCATAGAGCTTCGTTTCCAGTCCCCTGATCATCCTTGTTGCCCTCCTCTGAACTTGCTCCTGTTTGTTGGCATCCTTCTTAAAGTATGTTGTTCAAAACTGCGGACGGTATGGAAAATGAGGCCTTACTTGTGCCAAATAGACAGGAGTTGGTACATCATGGGGTTTGCATTGTTAGCTAATATTTATTTATTTAAAATATTTTTACCTAGCCTTTCTCCTTAAAAAGGACCTTGTGATCTATAAAAATTCCAAGATACTTCTCCCATGTGTTGGTACTAAGCCAAGTATCCCCCATCTTGTAACTCTTCATTTGCTTTCTTTTTCCCTAGGTGTAGAACTTTGCAATTATCTCTGTTAAATTTCGTTCTATTGTTTTCAGCCCAGTGCTGAAGCCTATCAAGATCTGTACTGTGAAGTCAGTTCTGATATACAGTAGTGGTGGTGGTAGTAGTAGTAGTAGTAGTAGTAGTAGTAAATGTCCGTCAAATCAATTCTGACTTATGGCAACGCTTTTCAGGGTTTTCCAGGAAGAGAACACACAAATGCAATTCACCTTCTGGGGGCATCCAGGGAATGTGCAGCTTGCCCAAGGCTACACAGGCTTCTGCTATTTTCAGGAAGATTCTAAAAATATATAACATACTAAAGGAATGGCTTTATCATTGCAACCCCAAAATGAATTTCCATAGCCAAGCAGGAGCCCTATCTCTTCAGTCCTCGCCCAATACTCTAACCACTGCACTATACTGGCTCTCTTCAAAGGAGTTCAAACTAGCCTGTATACCTTATTGATTTTTAAAAGTGATAAAAGTAAGTTTCCAAACTTTACTATGAAGTTCATTTTTGCCTTTTTTACAAGGCTTTGAACCAGATGACCTATAATGCCATATTTTTTTTGCAATGCTGCTGTTGCCAGGTAATTAATTATTTCTTAGATTTCCCCATAATGATGATACTGTATAAGAAAACAGTATAAATTGAATACTATCTTTCGTAAATCTCTGCAGTACCTGCAGAGCAGTGAAACAGTGCACACACTGGAACTGCATCCGCCCATGAAATCTATTCATCAGGTTTGGGACTCAGGCACACATTTTCCCTACAAGCACATACATTTAACCACAGAGTTTGATGCAACACTTTCAAAAACCATGTTAGGTTTTGTCTGGGACAAAATCTCTGGACAACCAGTCAGAGCTCTGTCTTTTGAGTGTGTAGGATGTCTTAGCTCATGCAAAAGAACCAATCTTTCTGGGATATCTGGGGTGGCAGGAATTAAAGTACTGTATGTTGAAAGCATCCAAGTTTACTAGTTATCTACCCCCTTCTTGTAAACTCCTGCTTCTATCTGGACATTTGGCATTGTTGTTTCCAAAAGGAATTCTAATGGAAATCTCCCCCATGTGAAAGACTACATGTTTACAAATTTGCCACATTCAAATAAATATTTAACAAAGCATTTATTAATTGATTTAAATATTTCTACTCCACACGCTATAGCTGGAAAAGCTTTCAAGAGTAGCTTAACATCTCTCTCACACACTCTCTTTTTAAAGGAGATACAGTTCTGACTTTCAGGCTTAAAATCTTAAAAAGAGACAATTCAAAAGAAAACTGGCAGAGGGAAAGAAAACAAGAACCCCAGGTATAAGCGCTTTATATCATGAGGTTCCTCAGTTTGATGAAATGGCTGCTAGATTATAGTAGGAGAGAGGCAAAGCCTAATGGGGCAGCTGGCTTCTCTGGAGGACTGGCAATCCTTTCTTGTTTAATGACACTTCTTTTGTAGGATGGCCATTATTCACTAAATTCCTAACTCTATGGAATCAAAGGACCGAGCACAGCAGATGGAACGCTGGGTGCAGCACTACTCTGAGCTATATTCCAGAGAGAATGTGGTAACCAAAGAAGCATTAAATAACATTGAGTGCCTGCCTGTCTTGGAAGAGCTAAACAGTGAACCAACTGTAGCAGAAATAAAAGCAACCTTGGATTCCCTCACCTCCAGCAAGGCACCTGGAAAGGATAACGTCCCTGTTGAAGTGCTGTAAAGAGATCATCACCACCAAACTGTATGAAGTCTTTCGTCTTTGCTGGAGGGAAGGTGGAGTACCACAGGACATGAAGGATGCAAACATTGTCACATTGTACAAGAACAAAAGAGACAGGGGCAACTGCAATAACTACCGTGGCATCTCTCTTCTTAGCGTTGTAGGGAAGCTGCTTGCCTGAGTTGTGGTGAAGAGGCTCCAGATGCTTGCAGACAGAGTATATCCAGAATCACAGTGTGGATTTTGAGCTAATAGATCCACCACTGACATGGTATTCTCCCTCAGACAGTTGCAGGAGAAATGCAGGGAACAACAACAGCCTCTCTTTGTGGCCTTCATAGATCTCACAAAGGCCTTTGATCTGGTTAGCAGGGATGGCCTTTTTAAAATCCTACCCAAGATTGGATGTCCATCTCGACTCCTTAACATCATCAGGTCCTTCCATGAGGGAAAGAAGGGCACTGTAGTTTTTGATTATCAGATCCCTTTGACATCTGAAGTGGAGTGAAACAGGGCTGTGTTCTCGCACCAGTCCTTTTTGGGATCTTTTTTTGCTGTCATGCTGAAGCAAGCTTTTGGAACTGCAACAGAAGGTGTCTATCTCTGGGCTAGATCAGATGGAAAGTTCCTTAATCTCTCTAGATTGAGAGTGAGGACCAAAGTCCAACTGAAATGCATGCGGGACTTCCTCTTTGCCGATGATGCAGCCATTGTTGCCCATTCTGCTGAAGACCTCCAACAACTCATGAATCGTTTTAGCAAGGCCTGCAAAGACTTTGGACTAACAATCAGCCTGAAGAAAACACAAGTCATGGGCCAGGGCGTGGACTCACCTCCTTCTATTATCATCTCCACACAAGAATTGGAGGTTCATGATTTCGTGTACCTTGGCTCAACTATCTCTGACACTCTTTCCCTAGACGTTGAGCTGGATAAACGCATTGGCAAAGCAGCTACCATGTTCTCAAGACTCACAAAGAGAGTCTGGCTCAATATATACCAAGATCTGGGTCTATAGAGCCTGTGGCGCAGTGGTTAAACTTCTGTACTGCAGTCAAAACTGTGCTCACGACCTGGGGTTCAATTCCAGGTAGCAGGCTCAAGGTTGACTCAGCCTTCTATACTTCCGAGGTCGGTAAAATGAGTACCCAGCTTGTTGGGGGGGGGGCAATGTGTAGCCTGCATAATTAACTTGCAAACCACCCAGAGAATGCTTGAAGCACTATGGGGTGGTATATAAGCAGCACGCTTTGCTTTTGCTTTTTTGCTGTGTCCTGAACACACTCCTGTACTGCAGTGAGTCCTGGACCCTTTGTGCATGGCAGGAGAGGAAGCTGAATACCTTCCATATGCGTTCCATCCGACACATTTTTGGTATCACCTGGCAGGACAAAGTCCCAAATAGAGTAGTCCTAGAACGAGCTGGAATTTTTAGCATATATACATTGCTGAAACAGTGATGTCTACGTTGGCTTGGGCATGTTGTGAGAATGACTGATGGTCAGCTCCCAAAGGATCTCCTGTATGGAGAATTAGTGCAGGGAAATCACCCCAGAGGGAGACGACAGCTGCAATATGATATCTGCAAGCAGGATCTGAAGGCCTTAGGAATGGACCTCAACAGATGGGAAACCCTGACATCTGAATGTTCAGCCTGGAGGCAGGCGTTGCATCACGGCCTCTCCCAGTTTGAAGAGACCCTTGTCCAGCAGGCTGAGGCAAAGAGGAAGTCACAAAAGCAGCAAAATCAGGGAGTTGGGCATGGGACAGATTGTATTTGTCTTCAATGTGGAAGGGATTGTCACTCTCGAATTGGCCTCCTCAGCCAAACTAGATGCTGTTCCAAGTCCTCCATACAGAGCACGTTACCATAGTCTTTCGAGACTGAAGGGCGCCTAATGAATGATGGAATCAAAACCAGAGCAAAGGGGAATATATTTATTGCACCACCCACCACATATCATTAAATAGGGTTCCAGTACTTTAGAGTCCTTTATCAATACAAAACATGGGATGAGCAAGTCAGAAAAGTTCAAAAATCATCCCAACCACATACTATAGCAATGGAATCTGTCATTACTTACATCCCCAAAAAGAAACTTTAGGCTTGAAGAGTTAACTTGAGGTGTGGCGTTATAAGGTTATAAATGAGATGGTATGAAATCAATTGTCTAGCTTCATTTCCAGAGGCATGGGAGGTATACAGTATATATGACTCTGCCATGAGTAAATTAATGGGAATGTTTTGATGCAACTGAAGGAAATATGCAAAACTGTGGCCTATTCGCTGTGTCATCACCAAGCCAGCTAACCTACAAAGCTAACTTTGAAAAAGGCAACCAACTCCCTGGTAAGGAAAAAAAATGGCCCCACCCAGAAGCAACCATGCCCTTCAGCAAGGTTGAATTCTAATCCAACAAAACCAAATATGATGGGTGATGTGG